ACCTACTGAGAAAAAGAAGAAGAAGAAAAAGTCTTTTTATTAATTAAAATTGCATAATATAAATTACAAAGCAATATAAAATAATATTGTTGGATTTAAAACCGAAAATCAGATGTGCTACATGGTCTGTTGACTGTCAGAGGAGTCTGTGTTTTATAACAGAATTATATTTCAATCTATTTATATACAACTAATTAATAAGAAAATAAGAACAATTATATTTACAATGTAAAAGTGATATAAATATTTTAATTTAAAAAAGAGTGGCACCAAAATTCTCCAATTTATTAGTTGTTAAATTCTTTGGTGAGCATTTTTCTATAGGTGAAAGTAGGCTTGTAGTAATTTACCAATGCTATCAAATTGTTTCCATTTATTAAATCTATTACTTGATCCTGAGATAAATTTCTAGATTTTAACCATTTAATTCTAAATTTAGAGAGTATCGGACAAGCAGCCAGGAAGTGATAGAGATCTTCCGTTTCGTTTGTATTACACATGCTACAATTATTATTTGTTAGCTGGAAGTGTTTATAATTTAAATTTAAAACATCAGCTCTAATTTTAATTACCCATCTGATCACCTTCAATGAGCTTTTGTCTTCAATATAATTTACTGAAGTTACACGAGGATAAAAAGCGAAAGTTTTAGAATTCTGAACTTTAATTACATATTGATTATATATGTCTTTGGGAATTTGAGATCTTAGTAAATATAAATTAGCTCTCCATAGTTTAACATCATCACAGTTAGATAAATTTAAGTTGAAATTTAATCCATGCAGTTCTATCAGATTAACTAAGCCCTAAACCATGTGATTTATTTTTTAATTATCTGTAGTGCTAATATTTTTGGATATCTATGTGGCGGAAGATTCAAAATTTGTATAATGTAATCAAAATGAAGTTTGATGGTAAAGATAAATAACGGATCTATTTTAGTCTCAAAGTGAATAAAATGTGTTTGAGTATGCTTTGAGAATTTCAATAATTTTTTAAGAAAGAATCTTAGTAGTCTTTCCACGGCTTCATAACTTACCCCACTCCAGATTTGTGCTCCATAGCACATCACTGCCCTACTAACGGAATTAAATACTTGCAACTTTTTGGATAGAGCTATTTTTTTGTTTTCCATAAACTGGCACCAAATTAAATTCAAACCCACCTTGGCTTTCTCCAGTTTTTCTGCCAGATGTTTGGACATTGAGAGAGTAAGCGTGAGAACTATTCCTAATTATTTGTACTGTTGAACTACTTCTATACTTTTGGAGCCCATGAACCATTTTTCTTTACGTGATGGCTTATTGCCATAGCGAAAGACCATTATTTCAGATTTTTCAAGGTTTATTCTCAGATTTCACTTTTTACTAAAGTATTCGTCTAGAGAATTTATATTACTCTGTAATGTTGCTGTGAAGATAGGAGAACAATGGATGTGAAGATAGGAGAACAATATCATCCACAAAAGCCATTTACTTAATTTTACAATTTTCCTCAACACAAATTCCACCATCCAAATTCTCTTCCAAATTATTTATATATAACGAAAATAGAATCGAACTAAGCAAACAACCTTGTCTTACACCCAATTCCATACTAAATGGTTTCGTCAAACCATCCAAACCCCAAACTGAAGCATTAGTATCGCTAAGCAAACTTATAATTGAATTAATTAATTTAGATGAAAATCCTAGCTGATATAATTTATAAATTAGACTATAAGAATCCACACTATCAAATACTGTAGAAAAATCTATAAAAAATGTATAAACTTTTCCCCTTTTACTTTTTAATTTTACTTTAATTAGACTCGTTAATGTGAATATGTTATCAATTGTTGAATATTTTTTTCTAAAACCAGCCTGAGCTTCTTTAATTATAAAATTTTCATCGATCCAGTCCAGACATCTAGCCAAAATCAAGCCCGTATATAACTTGGCAAATTGCATTAATGAAGGAGATTCCCCTTTAATTAGAAGCCAAATTTTTATCCCTTTTTTTATATAATAAAAAAATAATGGATTTTTTAAATGTTAAAGGGACATACTCCGTTTCAAAAATTCTATTAAATGTAGCCAATAAAATGTTTACAAAGAAATTGGGAGCATACTCTTAAAATTCATAAGGGATCCTATCACTTCCTTGTTATTTTTGGAGTTATCCAAAACAGCTTTCAACTCACCAAGGGAGATGGGTCTGTCTAAAATAGCATTAGTAATATTAGGTTCAACGTATAAAATTCTGTTTGAAATTATCGAAGGGTTGTACAGAGTTTTAAAGTGCATAAGCCAATCTTGTAATGATGTATTACCTACAGACCAGTAATTACTTTTTCTAAATAATTTTAAAAGTTCCCAAAACTATTTACTGTTATTAAGCTTATTCAGACACTGGACACAATCTATATAATATTGCTTCTTTTTTAATAAACATAAACTTCTATAAGTACTATTTGAATTTAAATATTTTAATCTATTGTGAGGGGACGAAGTTTTTCTAAATAACTTTAAACTTATAAATGACATCTTTCTAGCCTGAAAACACTCCTTATCAAACCATGGATTTTTACTTTTATATACTGACCTTGGGTAAGGATTATAATTAGCAGACAGACCTCTTGATGATATTTGAGTGAATGTCTATCAAATCTTCTACCAAATGCTCATTTACAGATAAACAGTTAACTAAACTATCCATCCTAGAATGATAAACTAACTCATTTTGTTTCAACCAATTAATTTTTGGGAGAAGTGGTAAAGTAGACTGTTCAATTACCTTATTTTTATTTTGAAAGAAGTAATAATCGGCATGTAGTCCGAAAAAATTTGATAATCAACAATGAAATTTTTTACTATTGATAGCAACTTCATATTTACAATAGCATAGTCTATAACAGAATTTTCCAAGGCTCCCAAATATGTCTATTCTCCTTTTATATCATTTTTCTTGTATATCATATAGCCAAATTAAAATTGTTACAGAGCTCTAATACTTTTTTACCATTTATATTTAACCAAGAGTCCCTTTAATTCCTACATAAACATTTAATATTCGCATTAAAATCTATATATTTTTTCGGCAGTATTTGTTGACTTGACACTCTACAATTAAAATCCCCGATCAAACAAAGATTTAAATCATGTACCTCAGAGAGGAATTCATATAAGCTATTATAATTCTTTCTCCAGCTATTACTGTTTAAATAAACAGGCATAATATAAACTTCATAGTTATCTAAAATTAACATGACTAAATGTTTATTCGAGATTTCACACAATTTTATTTAGTTTTTAAAAGAACTTTTTAAATTCACACCATAAACTACCGCCTGAGGCTCTACCATATGCAGCATTTCTTATATCCGGCACCCATATTGTATAAAAATCATTAAATATATGTTCATGCCTTGACTGATCCTTATTCTCAACAAAAGTCTTGAATAAACATATTACATCAAATTTTTTAATATATTGAAAAAAAATTAAATCATCCTTTTTTAAGCCACAAATGTTATAAGCTAAAATTTCCACCGATTGTTCTTCTTTCTGTAATTGTGAGACATTCTCAAAATAATTCCTTGAATTAGACGAAATGTTTTCCTTAGATGCATCCTGAGTTATAGGACCAGTTTATTTTATCCTGAGCGGATTATTATCAGTGAGAATATGTTCTGGGACGAAAACAAAATGACTCTAATTTGTCTTTGGCTTTTCTTTTACCAGCATTTTCATCATCCGGCAGTAAATTTTCATACTTACATTTTTGAAAATCTGGTGGACTTAAAATGGAATGCAATACATCAAGGGAATATAAGGTCCCTCTAAATTATTTTTAATAATAACAGATTTGTCATCTATTTTTTGTACCTTTTTTAAAGATTCATACAAATCTTTTTTTCTGTTTCTGTCCAAGAACGTTCGGTCATGAGCTATAGAACAATTAATTTCACTGAGCTTGTCCCTCTTTTCAAACAAATTCATTTTGTCCCTATGGCTAACAAATGAAATTAAAATTGCCCTAGGGGCCTGACGTCTCCCTAGTCTCCGGCAATATGAAATATCCTTGACAGAGAAGTTGGTCTCAGTTCTATTAAATAAATTTTTTACTGTATCATAGACATCTTCAGGCTCTTCTCTTTGGGCATCATATAATCTAATATGGGAGTTTGCATGTGATAGTATTATTTTTAATTAGCCCTGTCTGAGATTATTTATTTCTTCCTCCTGCATCTCTACTTTCTTTTCTAATAAGGCCTGTTTAACTTTACCAGGATGAAGTTCCTCAATTATTTAGGATATTGCTTGTTTTATTTGACTGAGATCGTTTCCATTGGATTCAGTGTTTTTATTAATTAATTTTAATGTAGTGTTAATTTTTATTTCAGTCGCAATGTTCTCTAGTGTTATAGAAGGGGCCATTTTATTATAAATTATATTGTAGTTGCTCACCAGCTGATGAAGTAGGAGGAGGGGATATCTGATGTATTTTTGACAGGTTACAGCACGTCCGCCCCCACTATTACTTATCTACCTGCTGCTTGTATCAATTATCTGGAATAAGGAATCTAGATGAAAGTATTTTCAGCTTATTTTTCCGCAGCCACTTCACAAATTATTACTAAATTGAAATATAGTGTTCCTTAATAGGTATGGTAACCACTAGTCACTACTTTTTTCAAATTATTTCACTTTGAACTGATAAAATCGAAAACTATCACGGATCCGAACTTCACTGCTTCAAGACCAGAGCCAGGCTCGACTTACCTATTGTATTATATTTATAGCAGAGCATTAATGGTTATTAAAATCATTATAATGACTGTGTTTTTTTAATTTACTTATCTTTAAGTTATTTTATTTTTTTATTGTACATAGTTTTTGATTATTATTTTACTTTTGTTAATTTTATATTTTCTTTATATATGGAGTGAGTGTGTTCATATATCACTATAATTATTGTCCACATAACATATTTTTATATTTCTAAATAAATAAATAAAAAAAAAAAATTACTGATTTTATTACATCAGAGCTGCTGGACTTCTGCTCAAGAAATTGTACCCACATATAATATAGTTAGCCGCTTTTTCCGTAAGTGCCCGAAAAATTCTATCGTAATTAAATTAGGTGTTCATGGAATCTGGGAAATTTCTATTTAAAAACAGTACCTGTTCACTGATTAAGGTACATATTTTACATTTAAAAAAAGTTAACTTTTTAAGTTTAAGAACAAACAAAAATAAAATGTCAACATATATTGATATAATTTAAAATGAAATAATTTACAACTGGTTTGAGCAAGTGCTTGGAAATAAGAATTTATAAGAGGTAGTGTACAACAAATTAAACATTCAAATCACCTTCACTCAATAAAATACAATTATAAATAGAATAGAAAACATTTACAATTTGTGAATTATAACAATGTTATACAATTATATATACCTATTAAACTTTAACTAATTATAAATATTTTATATAAATAAATAGTTTACTAAAAAATTGTATAAAAATTAAATTATCACACTTTTCTTCTTCAACTTTTAAATATAATACATAGAAAACTAAAAGATGCATTTTTTAATTGTTACTAATACATCTGTTGTATGATAATATACAAAATCACTAAGTATTAATTAATGGTAATTTTGGTTAGATTATTTTCCTCTTAGTTCCTTTACCAATATCTAGTTTTGTTGGCTTACTCTATATTTTAAGCCTGACAATTTAATTATAATTTGAAACACGCCAAAAATACCATTTGTTATGACTAAAGCCTTCTTAATTACAAGAAATGTAACATGGATATTTATTTTATCCTTATGCTCCGTTGTTTATTCATATTACTTAACATAAGTGAGATGTATGAGGTGAGAAGATCATCCATTTTATAGCCAAGTGATGTTTCACATAACAGTTTTGATCCCCTAACAAGATTACCAATCGTCATGTGAAAATATGTATTGCCGGAAGACCAATTAGATATTCTTGTAAATGGATGTGTTATGAGAATTTCCTGGGGAAAAAAATATATTAATGCGTAATGTGATAAATAATAACCATCAGAATTAGTGCACATTTAAAATATAACAATTCTTCAACAACAACCCAGTTTCCAAGAATATAAAAACAATAAATAAATCAACAGTGCAATAGAAAAAACTTGAAGGATAACGAGAAAGAAATTAATTTGTTGATAATTTTTTTTCTAATGTAGTTTTGTAGATCTGATTATGAAGGTTCTTCCATAGGTAAGAGGAAGTACCAGGCAGTGCTGCTCCAATGCCAAATAGATCACCTTATCTTGTTCATGAAACAGTAAATCCTTATCAAGATCCTTTATCAACTGCTAACTGCCCTTCTCTGTTAGACCTCCTTTCTTAATCAATGCATTACAAACTGTTTCATGGTTTAATAATTATTGCATGTAACTTTTCTCTCTTCTGATTAATAACAAAAAATTTATTTTTTAATCTAGCCTATCTAAACTACTACCAGTTGTTTGAGTTGTAACAGAAGTTTTATACTTTTCAATATCATATATTTCTTTGACGAGTCCTAAATGTTCTTATATATCTCATAGTATCTGTTACTCGTTAATGTAGGTTTAATCTTGACATATCCATGTCAAACATCTACATAATAAGTAAATCTTGATTTGGATGGATTATTTTTCATTACCAACAGTATTACAAAAGTCCTCATTGACAATGTAGTTCATAATTAATAGGATATTTGCAATTTCATTAGGGCATTAGCAATTTATGTAAAAATATTTTATTCATGATGATAGAGATTGTTATATTAGTAATTCAAGTATTTTCCAAACATCAGGAAAATATGATTATAAATATTTGTCACTTTGACTAGTGATAAATTCATGCCACCCAATTTGTGAGGAATGGTCTCTATGTAATCATTAAAGTGGAAATAGTGAATGGCAAACTTTCTTTTTATGTAAAACTGGCACTTAAGTATGATCCCAGCCAAATCACCTCCTTCCACAATCGTTGGCCTAGAAACAGTACTAACTTACAAGGTACCAAATCCAAGATTGTTCATGAATTGTCAAGGTAGAAGTATTTTACTTGCTGAATGAAAAGTGTCAATAATTTTTCTTCTATTTCTAGGTAAATTTCTAACCAGGAACTTGATTCCTGAACAGGGCTTATGGTCCTCTTCCTTAGTGCTGTTGGTTATAGAAAAAAGCTACAGCAAGCTGAACCAACTCCTCCCTACTGGTCTATTTCCCTATGATCCAACATTGACAACCCTTCAAACAATGATTCAACCTAAAGCAACTCATTAAATCTGTCATGAAATTTGAGGAATTCATGCTTTTGACAAGAGAATATTTTAATATGAGATCTTACTTTTCTAGTCATATCTTTTAGGTTTAGTGCCATTTTTTAAAAGGTTTTAATGAAATATTAGGCCAAATTTACACAGTTTTTAGATCATGAATTATTTATTCGATGATGTTTTATTAAACTACATCATTATAAAACATATATTAATTCAATAACAATCAGTTATATAAATAGTCCAAATTCTATTTTATAAATTTTTTTTAATAACATGGCATTTTGGTTGAAATTAATGTAAAATTTTTCATCTGCCTACCATGCACCGCTTCATAAAATTTCCTAAAATGTATCATTATAATATAATTTGTTGGTTTGTCATTCTTTTATTTCATTGAATGTCGTTTTTTTCATTTCTAAAAGTTATAATAAATAAATAATTAAAATAGAATGTTGAAATTTTTAAGAAAACAAAACAAAAACAGTGAAAAAAAGTGTTCCTCCTCACTAACTCATTCATACAGGAGTGAGTTTATTTTAAAAAAGGAGTGGGGTTGAGGGGTTAGAGATCCGCTATAATGAAGAAGGCTTCATTCAGAGAGATTAAAGTTTTTTGTCTGCTGAAAAATTATGTGAGAAATTTTGGGTGTATAATATAGTATGCAACCAGCTTTTATATGAATACTGCCAACATTTTAAAATAAGGTTATCCTTTACAGTGAAAAAAATATTAAGATGTCTGCCTCTATAAATCTGTTAAGGCTTTATACATTTTTATGCACACCATCTAACTAGATTCTGACAGAACCAGTGCCTTCAAACGAGTATTATTTCTGCATCCTCACAGTTTAATTTAGTCAAGAAAATCAGCCAGATGTTCTTAATGGATAATGGTTTGTTGTTATTGATAATGATAATGATGATTTTCCTTTTGATTTCTGATTTGGCCTAAATATTTATTCTGCAAAGGATATATAAGCATAAGAAGATAGTTTATGACAATAGTCAGCCATTCATCATATTCTGTACTTTTTTTAGTTATGATGTGACATACTGCATATATATAAATATGGGTACTTGTGAGCGACGTGGTCTCTGGTAAACCTTCCTTCTTATCTTATCTTACGTCACCTTCTTATGTTATGTTACCTTACCTCCTTATCTTATGTTATGTTACGTCACATAACCTGCCTTTTTATATAGTGTGAGCTGTTGCATGTGCATTTATTGATTGAACTTTCTTCAATGTGCGTTATTGAAATGGATGTCTTCAGTATCCAAAATATTGGATGTCTTCAGAAGAAGAGGCCATCAAATATTTTCAAGACACCGGGATAATTGCGAAGGTGAAATATTATGATGAAGGTCATGAAATGAAGTTCGACGGGAAGACGAAATGGAGATTCTTTCCTAAGAGTTGTAAGAGAAATGTATCAATAAGGAAAGGGACATGGTTAGAGGGGTCGAAGATTACCTTTTCAACCGCTTTAAAATTAATTTATGGGTGGTCTCATCATTTGGCAACAATAAAGTGGGGCAAAAAGCAACTGAAACTATCCAACAAAGGTATCATTATGTGGAACAAATTTTTAAGAGATTCATATTTATGTGAATTTTTGTGGCGGCAGGCTCACAGAGAAGAGGACCTGTTCCTTGCTATTTTAAATAGCATTAAGCTATTTTGTCTTCCAAAATAAATAAATCAAATGAATCATGTATGTTGTAAAATAAAAGTTTTGTTATTTAAAGTGTTGTTATTTATATTTCTTATTATTAAATTAGTATATTATAATTATGTTTATATTTCTTATTAATATATATATACATATATATTAATAAGAAACAGACAAAAAAGAGGCAACACCAAATATATTTATATTTCTTATTATAGGAGAGTCTAATTACATATGAAGACAAGGATTATTAGTGCCTTATCACAATTATCAGTGTTCAGGTTATAAACATTGGCAGATAGCAGTCCATAGGGACCATGTCACTCACAAGTACCTAAATATGTATACAAATGAATATTTATTTTGAGAAACATATGGTTCCGGAATGAATATATTTTTTTTTTTTATTCACTTAATTTATTTAACAATTAATTCAATACATAAGTTCTCAGAAGGGTCATAGTTCAAAATAGAAGGTTAGTAATGATATTTGTTAAGGTTTAGTTTTATTTAGTAGCTCAGTGGCAGGGCGCTGACTTCCAATGTTCAAGGTTCCAGGTTCATTGGCCCTGGGGTTGGGAGATCCTCCTGGGGAACACCCAGCCTCTATAAAGTGGGTACCTTTAATTAAGGGAAAAACCTGGCGCTTGGGCGTGATCTCAGTCAAACACCTTCTTGCACAATCGTTGACCAAGAAACATTACTTCCAATCAAAGTACTGAACCCAAAACCCTTCATAGATTGTAGTATAACAGGTTTTTTTTTTTGTATTTTAATTTTATTAACTAATCCACTCTAATGAAGTGAAATAAAACAAATTCATTAATTTCAAGAAACTTACTTTAGTTTGGGGATGAATCAAGCTAATACCGTGTTTATTAATGGCAATCAATAGCATTTCTGGGTAATTGGGTTCTGATGTTTGTTTCACTTCAAAGAAAGCTGAACCAAACGTTGGCCACCGATAAATGATTTTCAAGAAAGTGATTTTTGCATCTTCAGGGCTCATACCTTAAACAGAAGAGTATTACATTAGACTTTATATTAATCCTATCAAATAATGATGTTACCTTATTTCAAAATATTAAATAAATAAGTAATGAATTCAGATGTATAATAGAAGGTAAGTAAATTAACATTCTTTTTAATAATTAATCAATCAGTGAATAACAAAAAGTACTAAATTTTATCTCCTACCCCTTTCAAAAATAAATTATAATAAAATAAACTCTCAATGCACTGGAGAGGAACAAGCCGGCTGTCAATTAAAAAGCTATAAAAAGATATTGATAGTACCAATGGATGGGCAGTACAGAATGAACTGGTGCTCAGTGTTGAAAGGCCATTCTCATTGCTTTAGGCACCTCTTTAATTCCCCTTTGACTATCCCCTACCTACTTTACGTCAATAATTCACCCATTCAGTTTCATTCAACTGTAAAAAATCTCAGAGTTACATTTGATCAATACCTCTCCTATAAAATAACCGTATTTTACAGATCACTCAAAAATCCACAACTGGCCTTAAAGAAATCCTAAAACTCCATGAGCCAATTCCTCAAAATACCCGGCAGCTTCTAGTGTCCTCTCTTTTTTTCTCCCACTTCAACTATGGTTTGGTTGATTGGTGTATGGAGGACTATCTGACTCTGGCTTCATACAATTCATCTTCAGGTTTACTGCTCTTTGGCAACAATACCTCCTAGGTATGTTTCTCTACCAAATCCTTGTAATAAAAAACCTTCCTACATCTTAGAATCCCCCACTCTATGTTTTATTCTCCCTAATTTCTCCCTTAACACAAAATCTCAACCTATTGATTTATATATTCTCTTTTAAAGAACTATTTCCTTCAGCAAATCTTTCATTTTTGCCAAATCCTTCAGGAGTACTTTACCACTCTCTATTCATTAATCCTCCAACTTGTATTCTTTAACAGAAAATTCATTTCATCACACACTTTATAATCAAACTACTCTACTTACATAAGCAGTATTAATATTTATGTATTTTTCAAGTGAAAATGAAGCCAGTTAGTGTACCCAAAATCGGAACATTTTAATTATTCCAAGGGAACTTTGTAACAGAATAAAATTTATTTCTCATTTCATTTTATTAACAATTCACAACTCACAATCAGCATAATGTCCCATAGACCCAATACTAAATATGTAACTAAATAATTCAGTATTGGTTGAAATGGAAGAAAGTCTTCATCTGTCAAATGATTATACCTATTTCATCATGAATTAATTAATTCAGTTTTACAAATTTGTATTGATGTTTAAATTTACACATATCGAACAATACTTTAATTTATAGAGTTTATTTTTAATTTCAGAAATAGCTAAAGTAAGGCTCTAAACTACGCAGTGCCCAGGTTTGAGTCCATTTGTGACAGATAATTTATTTTTTCTTTTATATTAGGAGTGTATCAACTCTGGGGTCAGGAGAGCCTTCTAGGTGAGTGAGTACCTTGCCCTTCATTAGTTTGAGAGATAAACTTGGCTAATTGTGCTGAACACATTATCTCTTTGTATAACCATTTGACAAGAATGAGTACTTTAACCAAGTAATGAACCCCAGTTCTTTCTTAATTATATTAATGTTTATACTTTAATATTATGTAATTTTACAGAACAGAACATGATTATTCCTTAACTATATCATATAGATATTTATAGTTTATTATATTTAAGCATATAAAACAAAATTAATGAAAGGTAAAACTGAATTTTTTTAAAATATAATACCAGCATCTTGATTGTAAGTAGAAATTATAGCCCTCTTCCAATCTGCATGTGATTGGACTTTCACAACATCAGTAGGTATAAGCTCTCGTATTCTTTGTCTGCAAAATAAAAATCATACAAAAATATCTTTCTCAATGTATCTTTTTAATAGTTAATGTACATATATCTCCCTCTATTAAAACAAAGAAATTTATAAATGTCTTACAGTTGTTTAAAACTCTGATTCTAATAAATTGATTACAACGAGAATCGTCTTCTAAATTAATTAGTCACAACAATTTACGAAGAAAGTCCATTCTAATTTGAATTTCTCTGTTCATTTATCATATTTGAAATTTGCATAATAGATTTAAAGTAATAATTGTGGCAATAGATTATCGGAAAGAACTGTTTAAACAGACCATACTTCTGCAGGTAGTGCATATGAAAATAGACAAACAATAATTAGTACATCAGCAGTTTTCATACTGATGTGACCCACACCAAAAAACAGAGAAAAAAGAGAAATTGGTTTGTGCGGATGCATCCTTTTTTAAGAAACCGAACTGCCTCTAAAAAAATTTAAACTGTGATCGGATACTAAATAATAACTAGTGGGAAGAGTGACTGGAGGATCCAGTCATTTAGTGGGTAGCTGTGTTACGGAACTCTTGGCGATACCTGAATCTCGCAGTAATATGGGCAGGCAATTCACAAATATTTCATCAACACTGCTGTATACTGCAGCAAAGTTAACGGCAGAAATACTGTTGCAGGCACACATTGCAGTAAAATATGCACCGTGTAAATAGCTCTTGGAACTAAATATAATTTTGACAAAACCAAAAACATACAGTGCACAGAACTGTCATAACTTATATTAATTGTCTAGTTCTATTAGTTTGTATTTATAATTAAAATAATATTCTTAAGATATGAATTTTGATAGACTGTTTTGTAGATTAAATGCCATCTCATCATACAGTTCTTGTGGTAGGTTAGCCAGAAATGATTGCCCTGATGATAACCTGCACACATGCTTCAGTCGAAACATCAGCAAACAAAGTAAACATATTATGACTGAAAATCCTGATTATTTATCATCTAAGATCAATTTTTAGTGAAAGTTATCTGATGTATCGCACTAGATTTTGAAAATATTATCTAACTTTATTCTAATGAAGCTCACCTTCTTACAAGACTATACAAAACTAACTGCAATAATAATAAAAAGCTTAGCAAACCCGAAGGTTCAATGACGAAACCACCAATCACTTATTACACACCTCCCTCCACTGTTTGCTATCCAAATCCAGTCTATTCAGATCGGCTTTAACATAATCTTCCCACCTTCGCTTCGGTCTAGTCCTTGGACGTTTACCAGTCGGAACAGGAAATACTAATTTTTTTTGGAATTCTTTCGTTACTAAGCCCAACAATTACAAGTCCATTTGATTCACCACGATGTAATCAGCTCCATTATAGTAACCGGATATAGTTCAGGCAATTCGGCGTTGTGTAACCATCTGAACTTCTTTGGTTCAAATTCCTCATGCAGGCTCATTACCGCATATGGGAAGCATCCCTCGGGTGGCAGATGTGGGAATGGTCTGTGGAAATTCCTTGGCAGTTCTTCCTGGCTAAGTCCGATGAACTCGCTGACCAACAATCAGAGGGTGTGATGTAGGATTGAATGCCCTACTCACAAATCTTTAGCTCACCATACACAATACAAAACTAACTGCTATTATTAAATAAAAATATGACTTTACCTTAACAATACATAAATATCAATGTATATATTATCATTATTTAATACTTACGGAAGTGACTGTAATTCTTGTTTATTTTCTCCAAAACGCACTCTATAAACCAAAGCAGCAAGTTTAGCTGCTTCTTCCTTTGTGCACTTATGATAACCTGAATTCAAACAAACATTTCATCAGAAAAAATAAATAAACATAACTTCATCATTCTAAAAAGATAAAAAATAATAAGCAGTTTAAACACAACAGAGAAAAACATAAGATAGCACTAATAATATTATAATTTCTATCAACTAAGCTTTAAATTCACAGTTTAGTCTGATGATAAGATATGATGAAACTTAATAAAGGTATAGGCTTGCACAACATACTACAAATAGGGAAAAAGAATATTATGCTTCAGGGGCTAGGCTAATTTCAACTGTTGAGCAGCTAGAAAATAGAAAGCTCCTTATTTAATGAAGAAATGTAAAAACTCATAACTCACTCAGCTTCATCAATGTATTGTGAAAACAGTTAAATAAAGGCAATTTAAGAGTGTAAAATACATGTAATTAGATCCAAATGTATCAACCACAAACTCTCTGATAGTCCTTAAAGTAAATATGAGACTAAACGAAAACCAATACAGGGTGTCTCGGTTCTTAAAGGCCAAACTGTGGGGGTTATTCTAGACAAAATTTCCAATAAAATTCATTTGATGCATGGGCTGATTCTGAGCGGGAAAAGGAGATAAGACCAATTTTGTGGGTTTTTTTATTAAATAAGAAGAAATGGCTCAAAAACTGTGTAAGATAATTAAATTCTAAGAATACCATCGTAAAGTAGACACAATTTTCTTTGAGAAAACAGTTATTAAACTTACTAAGGTCAATGACAAAAGGGGCTTTCAGGAGTTCAAACACGGCCACTATACTACTGCAGTTACGTAACCCATACCCCAATTAGCATATCTGTAAATCCCGATTCATGAAATAATTCAGCATAACGGTAGGCTTTGTGTTATTAGACCTCCTGAAAGCTCCTTTTACCATTGACCTTAGTGAATTTAATCACTGTTTTCTCAAAGAAAATTTTTTCTACTTTATGAAGGTGTACTTACAATTTTATTATATTCTACAGTTTGTGAGCAATTTCTTCTTATTCAATAGAAAACGTGGCCACCTAAAGAAAAACACAAAATTGGTCTTATTTCCTTTTCTGCACGGTAACGTGTTCCAGAATTAGGTTAAGAAGTTGACACAATAGTGCATTTCTTTGTCTTAGACCTTTGTTGGCCCAAATTCAGCTGAGAGGCTCCCATGCACGCATACTCTACATCGTGAGTCCTCCATAGTCATTTTAATCAAGCATATGAGTTTATGTTTATTGCGGTTGCCATTCATAATTGGTGAAATTCTTATTAGTTGGACACTACAACTCAGTGACAAGTCCTGGCCTTCTCAACCATCTTCCTCCAAACGTCTCCGTCTCAGGCAGCCATCATGGATAGAAGTTCGCCTTCCTTGTTCAAGCAGACAAACTGTCTTGGTCTGAACTGTTTTCTGCTAGAGTTTACTTTTCGGTAGAATTCTAATATTTTTATCCTCAACATTTCCATTCTCTCCAGTTGTGTACTTTCATGTTGTCTCTTCTTTCTCTGATGAAGTAGTTTTTCCTCTCTTCGCTTTAGACGATATTCCTCAATTGCACTTCTGGTTTTTCTCTAGATCATGTTTCTGTAGGCCTGGTTTTTGGTTTCTGTTATTGTCTGGCATCCATGTCCGAATTAGGAGAGCCTGGGTTCCTTTTCTGGTGGTCCTAGTACTTTGTTTGTAATGTCATCAATCACTTTAGAACCAGTTGTCCAGCAGCTATCCACATTTACATCCGTGTCAGAGATGTAGGTCAAGCGTAGACAATTATCAACTCTTCCTAGTAGAGTTCTTAGATTTCAGCTTATTAATTTTGAAACTTCTGGTTTTAGATCCAGTACTGTTCTTTTCAGGGTAAGTTTATCAGAGCGCGAATGTGTGCAATGATCAAATAATGATCTGAGTCAATATTCGCGTCTCTATAAGTTCTTACATCCTGCAGTAATGATTTATAGTGCATTCCGATAAAAAAAATGATCAATTCGATTGACCATAGCCCAATCAGATAATATGCAGGTTCTTTTATGTATATTAATATGCGGGAATAAAGATCCTTAAATCACCATGTCTTGTGATGCACCAAAGTTGATGAGTCTCATCCCATTCCTATTGCTTGTCTCATGCAGACTGTGTTTTTGATTGTTGGTCTATAAACATTTTCATTTCCAACATTTGCATTAAAATCACCTGCAATGATCTTAATGTCAAGTCTAGGACACAGTTTCAAATTTCTTTCAAGAATATCATTGGTATTCTTTTTTTTGGTCTTCTGAGACTCCAGTCGGTGCATGGAGACTGAGAAGACTATAATTATACAACCTTCCTTGGAGCTGGCTGTAACAAATGCGAGAGCTAATAGGTTTAAATCCGATAACTAGTTGTCAGTGTGAATCCTGTTCTAAATTCATGGTAGCTTTCACTGCAGCTATACTATATCAAATGATGTTTCTTTTTGAGTATATCCTGGCGGGTCCAGCAGATTTTCTGGATGGCACCTATGTCTATTTTATATCTGTCAAGTTGATCTAAGAGCTGTTTGAGAGTTCGGTGCAGGGATAAAATGTTCCATTGTCCTAAGTTAATATTGCTATTGGGGTTGCTAGGTTGTTTTCTTAGTTGGCTATTATTATCCAAGGCTGTTTTAGGTTTAAGTGATGCAATGACCAGGCAATGGTGTCGCCAATTCCCTACCCCACTGTTGGCGAGATTCAAAAGCCATTAATTGCCTCACTTCATCTTGGACATTATAGTTTAAATGGAATTATTTTTTAAATCATTAATATAAGTACAAAATTGATGAAGTAATACATATGTATTGTAAAAGAATTTACAATATATATGCAGCACAGAATGAACAGGTAAAATAGAATGCATAACATAGATTTCTGATAAGCATAATCAGAAGAAAATTTCAACAAACCTCGCAAAAGTTTTGGAAGCTCTTGATGGAAATGGAATATTAAATCAGCATTTCTATCTTTTCCTGGAACTGTATTAGTCCATAACTTCTTCATGAAAAAGACCTGATAAGTAAATTGAGGTACTGCTCCTAAATAAATAATAAAATTAAACTATAAAATATTGAAATGTTACCAGTACTCTTTATATTACTTTATAAAATACTTTATATTTTACCATCTCTGGAGGGTCTTGCTTTTTTTATCCAATCAGTTAAATGCCTAACGAAATCAAAAAAGAAATCTGCTTCAGGAACTGAAATTACTTTGTCTGCTATTTTTACAAAAAGACTGAATCCCTCACATGATCTTAAATTTAACCTCTGTGCTATATTAGCACAAAAATCTTTGGCACGAGTTGAAGAATCCACTTCAAAGGCCTGAAATTATAAGATATTTTTCTTTACTATGAAAAATGTCATTACGTGTTGTTATGAGATTATTTTGAGACTTACTTCATCAGTATCATCAGGAAAGTAAACTTTGTGAAATATTTGAGTTGTTTTATGCTGAATTGCTTCCACCTCAACCTGATGAGGAGGATATTTTCTTTGTCCGTTACGAAGAGTTTTCTGTAATCTTTGGAAAGAATCCTGAGCAATGGGGTGCCTTCTTGTTCTTAAAAACATGGTAAGCTCCTAAATCCAGCATTTTAATTATAAATATAATTTTAAGACACTAAAGTTTATATATATTATTTAATAATTAATATTAATACTAATATATTAAAATATACATTTTTGTCAAGATGTGAAAAGCAGCACATTTTTAGTTTCACTCATGTTAAACTTGGATTATATATCTGTTTCATAAAATCAACGAATAAAAGTACCTCTCATTGGCTAAATAAAATTCAAAATGTATAAGGAAAAAACAATAAATTTATAAGGCTCTGCAATAACGTCAATGAATGACCAACAGTCAGAAATAGACTAGCCTTTAACTGAAAAATCTTACAAAATCGAAAATTAAGAGTGTACAATGCTAGTATAAAACCAGTTCTAATATATGGCTGTGATACCCAGGTCCATACACTAACCAGCAGCCTAGAAAAAAACATTGAAAGATTTGAGAGAACAAATTCTCTGCACCATAACCGGAACAATCTGGGATCAGATTACTAACACGTGGAGAAGAAAAACCAATAAAGAACTGCTTACAGAAACTGGGCAATCACTATCCCATGATATGAAGGCACAGAGGTTAAGATGGGCGGGGCATGTAGCTTATAGCAATCCACCTTGAAGCCTCTACATAACAATGAATGTCGCAATAGAAAGCAAAAGAGTATGTGGAAGGACAAAAAGCAGATGGATAGATAGAATTAACAAAGATGCAATAAAGTTGTGTGCAGATAAATGGAAAGGAATAGCCCAAGACAGGCAGAGATGGAGCAGGCTTGTTAAGGCAGCAAAAGATCTACATGGTCTGTAATGCCAAAAAAAAAAGAATGACCAATCACTAAACAAAAAACTGACAACAGTTTCAAAGTTTGCCAATGCTTCAACTGGAGCATGTGGGTCATCATCAGAGCTAAAAATTAAAATAACATAAGAAAAAAGATGGAACGTCTTCTTATATTTATTATTTTTCAGATGTTATTTTGTATTTTTTAAGTTTTAGATGATGCTTGGGTCGAAATAGTGGCAAACTTAATAAACATGATTATTGACTGCACATCCTATGTATAGCATGGGTGATAAATAGTCAGGACGCTGTCATTTTAAAGGTTTTTATTGGTGCCGACAATCAGAGATATAACATTGTAAGACAGATAATCATAAATAATGATAAAATAGTGATGGATGATACATAAAATAGACAAATGTAATATGCAATAAGCTATACAAACTAAAAAATAATTTATATAATCAATTTATAAGAAATATAATATTTACTCTTACTAATCGTGTTATGAACACATAAAGTTTTCAAATCACTTAGGTAGTTAAGTAAGAGGGTCGTTGGAGGATTTTCGAGATGTGCTTTTAAGATAGCAAAGGTTGGTAAGCAGAGTCAGAGGGGGAGGTAACATTTTTGTATTTGGAATGCAAATCATTTGATAAATAAAATATTCAAGATAACATGGGTTACAATAGCTATGTTGTTTCTTAAAGTAAAAAAAATATGACTATTAGCTTGTAATGATCTAAAAATAAATAAGAGATGACAGACAATATAAACAGAAAACAGTTTGAGTGAAGGTATACAAAAGTTTGACCATTAATGTTTACAATAGAATTAATTTTAATAAATTGAAATGATAAGTAGTATAATATACAATATTTTTTGTAGTATCTTGCAGAATAGAATAAAAATAGAAATATCAGTTTTATTGGTTGATTAGAAAAATCAACTTTATCCTGGGATTCAACTTTGTCCCTTAAAAATATGAATATTGTTCATAAAAAAACAAATATAAACATATCTGTGCTCTGTTTATAGTAATTTGTATTTATTTTTATTCAGAATAGACCCTATTTATGCTTGTGTGTGTATATATTTATATATACATATTTTTTTTTTTCGGTTGGCGCTACAGACCTTGAAAGATCTTTAACCGTGAGATGTGGTCTTCTAGACCACATCCCGATTCCTGATTTAAGTACACGGGGGGAGGGAGGAGAGGGTAAGGGGAGGTCATCAGTCCTATATCCGGTCGGTGTGAGTTGCCTCCAGTAGACTGGCAGGCCTTGCATACCCTGGGGGGGTCTCAGTCACCCATCCAAGTGTTAAACACACTAGGCGTTGGTTAACTTGGTTATCTATCTATAGCAAGCGTCTTAGCACGCGTGGCTACCTCAGCCCCCATATATATATATATATATATATGTATGGATTATTTTTATCCAAGTAAATAAATATAGCTTCCAAAAGTAATCATTTATGGTGGTTGAGAACTGGCAAGTATGGATGCGTTATCAAAGTCAAATGTGTGATTAAGGGTTATGGTCTGTTCGGCTAGTTTTGAGGTGAATGGGTTGTGTGTAGAGATGCTGTATATTCGGTTTTTGAGGTAACTTTTTATTTCCCCTATGTAGGAAGAATTGTATTTAGGATTAGAGCATGCGATACAGTATACTATATTTGATTGTTGAAGGAACGGAACAAAGTATCAGAACAGAATAAGCACATCTGGAAAATCCTCCAGTATTTGAACACTTTCAGTAAAAGTAAATATTACATTTCTTATAAAATTGATTATATACATTATTTTTTAGTTTATTACATTTTTCATTTGTCTATTTCTTGTATCATCCATCACTATTTTGTCATTATTAACCATTATCAGTCTTACAATATTATATCTCTGATTGAATTAAACAATTCCAGCCCTGATGATGACCCACATTCTTGGTTTGAAATGTCAGCACCAATAAAAACCTTTAAAATGACTGCGTCCTGACTATTTATCATCCATGATATGTAGAACAGTCGACTAACTTCAATTTTGTCAATCTATGCATTCTATAACTATAGATTGACAAAAATCAGTTATCGCCAAAAGTCATATCAAAAATGCACTTAGTGACTTTTTGCGATAAATTAATTGTTGATAAAATTAGTGGAAATTGGTAAACTTCATTATTGATAAAACTTTCAGGACCATAAGATGATGCAGCTAAAATTTGGTAAATATTGGTTCAATAGTTTTTATGGTTAGTGGTTCCCTAAAGTCTTAATCTTCAAAGGTTTGGAATCCATTTCTTTGGGCCTTGTTTTAATTTTACTTTAAAGGTGTAATTAACTAATGCCCTAGTGTAAACAAAATGTTATTTACAGCACAGGATTTAGAAAATGAGAAGACTAAGACTGACAGTGATAATTGGAACAGCCATAAAGGATCTAGGATTACAAGATTTAAGATGAACAGAAAGCCCTTGTGGTTACCATTTGCTCCCTATAAGAATAAGAACATTAAATTAAATAATACTGAGAGAGAATATAATTTTAAAATAATTAAATGAGTACAGTTAAACTTAACTTACCTTTAATAAGCTCTGACTGCATGCAAAGAGTCCTGTCGCTAACCACATCAATTCCCAACCCCGTTCTTCACTTAGTCTATTCCTATTATCCGTTAACTGCCTCATTAGCTGACAATATATTTCATCACGAAGTATTTCCTGAAATTATGCTTTTGGTAATGGAAGATACAAAAAGATTAATGGACAAATTCATTTAAAAAAATAACTACATGTTTCAAAGGGCCATCAAAGATGTGATCAGTATATTCATTTCCAGGTCTTCTTTTAGATGGCAGATCACCACAATATTTTAATATGGCGGTAAATGCATAACAAGCCTCTTCAGCAAGCTCTTCTTTGCCAACAAGTTTCCGTAAAAGTGGCTGTTTTAATGGTTCACGTGAATGTCTCCACAGTTCATCTGGGCTACCTCTACGTGCAGCTGACAGGGCAAGAGCTTTTGACATTGTTCTCTTTGGAGGAGGTCTATCAATAGAAATAAATATAAACATATCCATAAGAGTATTTCAAGAGAAAAAAAATTCCCAAATTTTTGTACAAATTAACATATATTTACCTGAAATGATCAATAGAATATTCCATTAAGGTATAAGGTTTCTCTCGGGTTTCAGTACCATTCATATTTTGTGAATTTAATTTACGACCACGATCAGCTTCCTCCATATTAAATAAAGCCTGTCAATATAACAGATTTAAAGTCATTAAAAATAAAATAATTAATAACACTACATTTATTATTTTTATAAGTTTTATAAAATGTATTATATTTATATTATATAAGTTTCATAAATTTATTATATTTAGCAATCACAGTATTTAGGATTTCTTAATAATATATTTGTATACCTTCAGATTAGAGAGATTAGGTTTCCTCCCTTCCTCCCTTCCCACATTTCAATAGGTGTTGCTCTATCAAGAGAGGATGTTGGTCTTCTTTTGGTAATATAACCAGAATAATAAATTGGTTCACCCCACATATCTTTATATTAGATGTTTGATTTTATTTAAACAGAGAAATATGTGCGAACGATTGAAGGGAAACAATGGAGTGGATTGCTCGAAAAAAGTGGCAGGATTCCTAGAGACCTCCCTGAAGGGCAAGCCGTGGCATGATTTAGAATGCTCACAGAGCATGATTTCCTTCAGAACCACCTCCACCGCATCGGTGTAAAAGATAGCCCGACATGCCCTTTATGTTCCTTAGACATGATGACAGGAGAACATCTTGATACGTGCCCTGCATTACAGGACATAAGATGTTCCTTTAATGAAATGGACAGCCCTTATGCTCGAAGAGCAAAACTGTATTGGACTGCAAGAGCACGCATGGCTAATGAAGCAGGCGTTACTTAGGCGTAGGAAAAAAAAAAATTATTTAAACAGTGTGAGCTATATTCATCAATTCCTATTAATTTCAGTATTAAACGGGACCTCATGGTTAAATTTGATGCCCTTGTTTTAGAAAAATTCCCTTCAATGTATTCTCTTCTATTATCTGACCTATTTTTCAACAAATTTATCATAGATCTCGGATTTATTTTTCATTAGGTACACCACAAAAAAGCGGGTAAAATCATCTATAAAAATTACCAAATGTTTATATCTATCCCAAGATTCAGGTGCAATAGGACCTCACACATCAGAATGTACCAACTCGAGTTGCTTGCTAGCTTTAACTGTAGTACCATTAAATGGCTGATGGGACATTTTACCAAGAATGCAATTCTCACAATTTAAATTTTGAAATTAGACATTAGCTAAATCACTCAAACCTTCAACTACATCATTTTTTACCAAATTTTCCATACCCTTAATTATTAGGTGTCCTAACCTTCAAAGCCATAATGCTAAATTACCGTCTTTTGTACTTTTAGAATTTAATGAAGTATCGGAATAATCTTCAGAATTTGCTGCATACATATTTACAATATCTAAGAACTCTCCCTTCTTTCCCTCAAAGAAGTTTCCATTATTTTTAAATTCCTTCACTTTCTTGTTAAAAAAAAAAAATGTAAACAGTAATGTAAAAAAAAGATTTTCATACCTCCGGGATATAAAATCCATTATTAACACTGTATGGAACAATCTTACCATTAAACTTAGCATATGCATAAATAGTGGTAACTACCATGGCTTCCAGATAAACAACATTTATGTTAGCACGTTATTTTTATGGCACAGATAATTCAGTACGATCTTCAAAAAACATAGTACTAATATAATGACCAGAACTCCCTGAATCTATATACCACACTATATAAATCTGCACAATTGTCTGTCACTGAGTTAACAGTAAGGAAAGCTACTTGCTAAGTCATTGCTATATTCTTCCTCAGTCCAGAAGTTTGATCCTAGCCCATCGCTGGCTCCTCTTCATCCTTTGTTTGATCCACCTATCCCTCTCTGATTGGAATCCTGTTCCTCTGGAACTTTTCTTCCCTTATCGTAAATTTCTGCATTGAAAGCTTTAATGGCAAAGCCTTCCACAGTTCCAACAAAGAAAGGCATACTCATCGCAGTCTCTTTCATTTTGAAATTTCTTTCTTTTTTTTTTCTTTCGCCCTAAGAAGACTATTTTAAACTTAGTCCCACTTAGGTTTTTAACTTATTATTTTTGAGTCTTCAGCACTATTACTATCCCATTGTATGTCCTTGGCATCAAAATCAATAGATACTTCTGAGACTTCACTATCAGTATCTTTTAACTGGGAGATATACTCTCCAACTTTAAATTGTACCTACTGAATTGTCAAGTTTCAAAATAGAAATAAGTATAGATAGAAAGAAACTAAGCTGAATATAAATATGTAAAATAAATCGAGAAATAACAATACTGAGTTTACATCCAGTGGATCCAATAACCCCAAAACCTGATGTAACCGCTGAGCTATTTATCTGTGATTCAATCGATGAATAAAGGAATGGGCTGATTAGATTTATGGATTCATCTATGAATTTAGTAATAGCCTGATGGATTTATGATGCCCATTAATTAGCATGATGCCAAGTTAAGAAACTTGCCCTTTACTATGTCACACTGCTTATTAGCTTTATTTATAATGTTGACATCATTAATTTGGAGAGGTATTTTTGAAAACTATTTCATAGCAAAAAATATGTATGCAATTTCTTTCACAACTCCTTTAATACTAAAAATCACTATAAATTATTATTCATGAAGCCCTACTGACTCTCTCTAACTTTAAGTTATGAAAGCGTGATTCATGATTATTTCACTAGGATTAATAATATTTAGGTCTATATCAAGCTTATTAAAATTAATTGAAAATCAATATCGAAATTAATACAATTTATTATTTAATTTTCAGTAAATTAAGGGTATTTCACCCTTATTATTATTACCCTTATAAAGAGCATTTACCAATTACTCAAAAGAATAATTAGGTTATTCTACTATAATTATTGCAAAATGAAGAATTGCAGTTTCAAATAAATTAAGAGAGCTTCACTCCTTGTTAATATAAAGAAGTATATTCAGCCATTAATCTGTATAATAATTCCATATATATTATTTCATAATAACTATGGCTAATTAAACTCTTACGTTTGACCAAATAGTCACCTGTTAAATTTAATATTAATTATAGATTGTTGATATAAATTTCATTATTTTTACTTTCACTTACGTATATATCTAATATATAGTAAGGGTATAGTATTACGATTGTGAAAATTTTTGAATCTGAGTTTTCAACGTAAATACACGTTTTGGGGTATCCTGAGTCGAAAAATGATCTGTGTCTATGTTAGCAGTCTAGCTCAAAAACGAAAAGTCGTATGAAACTGATATTACGTATTTAAGATAGATATATGCCTTAAATGTGACAGCAACTTTTTCCTTAAAATCGGCTAACCGGAAGTGTCACTTTATATCAATGCTGAAACACATTTTTACAATTTTCTCAAAAACTGCTCTAACGATTTTGATTAAACTCGGTGTAACATTGTATAATTAAGTTGTCATTAATATAATTTAGGTCTTATCCCCATTGATGTCACTTTACAGGATTTAAATGTCCAATGTTCATATGCGTCTTTCTTTAAAGTACCTTAATATGGTTTATTTTAAACCATTAACTATCTCTCATTGATACAAATAATGAAAAAAGGCTGAATAGAACCTTTGAAAGAATTGAAAGATAATTGAATAAAGGAGAAAAGAATAAAAATGCTTATCCTGATCGAAAATGAATGTCCGGAAATACTAGTCAGAAGGTATACGTATAATATATCATTGGAAAGGGAAAAATTTTTAGAAAAAAAAACAATATCTAATATAGAATGTTGTAGAAGGTAACAGAGAGTGGCAAAAAAATTATAAATAATAATTTTAGAAAACTAATAATAAGTAACTTAAATCACATGTTTTCAAGGAAATTAAATGAAATTTTTTAACTAAATGTAAACTTTTAAAATATTGTTAAGTTTGAAAAAGTATTTAAAATCCACCTAATCAAGACAATGACATTATTTAAAAATCTATTTCACTGTTCTTGTGTGAAAGAAGTAAAATATAAAATCATTTCATGTATGTATAAAGCATATGTTTATAACCTTAAATAGATTTACTTTAGTTTAATAATTCTAGATCTGATATTATATTTAAATAATTAGATATCAAAGTCCGTTTATTGTGAAATATAGTCATATAACTTTTTAGAAAATTAAATTATTGAATAAATGATGAAACTTCCCTTTGTGATATTCCAACAGTATCCACTACTATTTCATTGTAGTTGTGAAAGAAGTGAAATATAAAAAGATTTCATGGATACGTTTATAACCTTAAATATATTTACTATAGTTTAATAACTCTAGATCTGATATTATATTTAAATATTTAGTTATCTATCGTCTGTTTATTCCGAAAAATCATCGTGTAATCTTTTAAAAAATTATAATTAGACTAAAAGTTATAGAGAGTCAGTAGGGCTTCATGAATAATAATTTATAGTGATTTTTAGTATTAAAGGAGTTGTGAAAGAAATTGCATACATATTTTTTGCTATGAAATAGTTTTCAAAAATACCTCTCCAAATTAATAATGTCAACATTATAAATAAAGCTAATAAGCAGTGTGACATAGTAAAGGACAATTTTCTTAACTTGGCATCATGCTAATTAATGGGCATCAGAAATCCATCAGGCTGTTCCTAAATTCATAGATGAAAACATAAATCTAATCAGCCTATTCCTTTATTCATCGATTGAATCACAGATAGATAGCTCAGCGGTTACATCAGGTTTTGGGGTTATTGGATCCACTGGATGTGAACTCAGTATTGTTATTTCTCGATTTACTTTACATATTTATATTCAGCTTAGTTTCTCTCTATCTGTTCTCATTTCTATTTTGAAACTTGACAATTCAGTAGGTACATATTTTGTTATATATTCTTTATTTTTCATGTTTTGTAATGATTTTGGCAACTTTCAGCTAGAATCCAGCAGGTCGTTTCTAAATCCAGCATAAACAGCCGTTCTCCGGTGCTGGATTCAATCAATTGATGGATTCCTTCAGTCAAATTAGCATTGAGCATAGAAACTTCTCCAAACTCACAAGTTATTAAAATAACCTGTTACTGGAACACATTATAATTTGGTAACAACTAACTGCTAACCTGTTATTGAAACTATGCTAACAATGCAAGGGTCTCCAAATTACAGTTCCTGAAAGATTCTTTTATCACATGGTAACATTCTAAAAACTATTTAAAAAATATAAAATTTAGTAAATCAGTCAAACACGAGATTACTACAACATTTATTGTATTAGTTTTTTCCGGGAAGGCATATACCCTGAAGTTGAATAAAAATGTTAAAATGCATTTTTGAAAGGTAACATCTTGTAGGATGACTCAAAATAGCATTTTTAACAAATTTATGCAAAAAACAAATATTCTTTTTTTGGATGTCTTTGTGGATTTCAGGGGTTAAAGGAACAATCAAACATTTTATGTTTTTTACATTCGATCTAATCCAGTATAGGATAACTGACCAGGCTACAACCTAACTGAAACACAATAATATAGTTCCTTCGTAATTATAACATAAAGCAAGCAAATCACAAACATAAATAAATAAATAAGACAACCAATTACCAAAATATCAGGAGGTGGCTGAGAAAGAGCAGGTAACACATAAACTGCTTCTGCTGGAAAGTCTCCTTTTTGACCAGTTCTTTCACATCTTCCAACGCACCATCCTGAATTCATAACTGTTTCACCAGTACTATCATCGTCCAACACTATAAGATCACCTTTTTGAAATGTCAAAAACGATGATCCTTCTCCTAAAAATTTAACATATAGTATATAAGTAAGAATATTTTTTCCCAATGATTTATTCCACTCAATTACATCATTTATCTTGTTTATATAATCAAAACAAGATAAACAAATATCTAAGTCCTATGAAGGATATGGTAAATAAATTGAAACAAAAAGAGATAGTATACAAGGTGGATTGTAATAATTGTGAAATGACATATATTGGTGAAACAAGACAAAAAATGGAAAAAAGGATGAATCAGCATCTTAATGATACAAAAAATAGTAAAACTGACAACAAAACAGCCTTAGTCGATCATCATAGTATTACTAACAGACATAATTTCAACTTAGTAAAGCCACAAATTTTATATAAGGAAACACACAGCATACAGAAAAAATAATAGAGTCAGTATTCATCATTAAACATAATAAAAACAGCTATTAATTTTAAAACCGATGCGGCCAAAATAGGAAGTCACTATGCTTATCTTATAAACAAATTAGATATATAAAAATAAATATAAGAATTGGAGTTTGACCCCTTGCTAATAGGATTTCCAGGTAATAAATTGAAAATAGTAAAATACATATAATAATATTAATAATTAAATAAATAATAAATTTAAAATTACTTCTTCATGACTCAGTCATCTTCGTTTCCTTGGTCACCTCTTTTCGGTTCAGAAAGCCTTTCCTAACCGAGCCAAACATTCTTCCAGCAGCTCCTATTCTCTGCCTTACCTTCTCGTCAATATATCCATTTTCGTTGAGTTGGGCACCTAAGTATTTGAAACTGTCCACCTGCTCCAAAATCTCACCGTCGACCCTCAATACCCTCATAACCCTGTGAGGTTTTCTTCCAATGCGCATGCATTTCGTCTTCTCCGGGTTAATTTTCATATTGATTTTTCTTAAATCTTCCTTTAGGATATTAATATTGTTCTGGAGATCACGGTCATTTTGGGCCAATATGACGAGGTCATCCGCAAACGCCAGCAGAGAGTATAGAGTAGGCTGCATATCTCTGTGACCCAACTGAAAACTTCGTATCTTCTGTTTTACTTTTCCCAGTGCCAGATCGAGAACCAGTACGAAAAGAAGTGGGCTCAGGCTACAACCCTGTCGTATGCCCAGTGTTGTTTTGAACTCTCGAGAGGTATGGTTTCTTGTTCTAACAAGATTCCTCGTATTTCCGTATAAACTCCTTACGGCCCTTATAAGTTCATTATTTACACCTTTTTCCTCTAGAGCCTCAATGATATCCTTTTTCCTAATCCAGTCAAAGGCTTTGCAGAGATCTACAAAGCACACTGAGAGTTCCTTTCCCCTCTCGACAATCTTCTCTGTGATTTGTCGCATAGTGAAAACTAGATCCTGTGTGCTTCTTTGACTCCTGAATCCATACTGCTCCTCTCCAATCTTGGATTCTACAGTGCTTCTGACCCTTGCTTCTAGGATTTTTGAGTATATTTTACTGGGAACACTAAGGAGCGAAATACCTCGATGATTGTTGCAATTCCTCCTAAATAAATTTTTAATCAAGAATCTCCTCCCCTCTTCCGTTCAATGGTGTCCCACTTTATCCATGTTAAAATCTGGTCACCTTAATATATAGTTAAGTGAAAAAAAAAACTGACTATTACTCATCTACCAACAGTCAGCAAGTTTAGGACAGATCACTTGTAAATAGCAACTTAATCAGGCACAGTAGGAATGTTTGAAATATCAATAAATTTTGTGCATTAGTTATGATATCACAGTGAGTGTGGAATAGCTCAGTAAAGTACTTAATCTTCTGATCCCGTGTTCGAATCAGGCTGTGACAGGTAATTTTTTAGTCTGTTACATAAGCTATGGATCAAACTGGAAATCCTTCCCTCACCCATTATATAGTGGGTACTTATAATTAATTAAAGGAGAAAACATGGCATTAGAGTGTAATCTCGGTCAAATCATCTCCTTGCACAACTGTTGACCAAGAAATAGTCTTTCCTTCAAAATACTAAACGAACCTGAATCTTGATGTCTTTATGGCTGAGAGTGTTGAAGCGTATTAAACTTTAACATTCTCGATTTTGGTTACACTAGTTCAAATCCAGTCTGGTTGAGTTGAAATTTATTTCTTGCCAATCCCATGAAATAAATCTTAATCTTCCCACTCTAGTTCAAGTAGGTTTGGTTGTAACTCTAGAACAACTCCTCTTATGGAAAAAATGGCAAGATAGGGGTTCGTAGAAAAAATATATATATACTGACCTAAGAACCTTTATGTGTTGTAGTGATACATATTTTAGTTTTATTATTGGTATTAAAATTTGAAAATCAAAACCCAATATATTTCAACAAACAAAAATTAAACAAAGAAAAATAAAAGGAAATAAAGTTTTTATTAAGAAAAGTTACTTCACAGGTGAGCTCATCAAGATTGTAGTATTTTAAAACACAATAACTAAGAACTAATAGTTCATTTAATTTTTTTTTTTTTTTTTACAGTTTGTGGCCCGTTTTAGGATGTTAACTTGTCATGATTACGCCCATAAGTATCTTTTGTTTTATTGGTGTATGGAAAGATTAGGAATACAAATGCATACTTTACGCAAATGGAGACATGGATGCCAAAGATTTTTTTAAACTGCCCTGCATTAGAAGATATTCAAGGAATCTTTAAAGAAGACACTGATATCTATGCCAAAAATGAAAAAATTATACATGGCCGATTGGAAATGAATGGCTGAAGAGGCCAATGTTACCATGGCATAGGAAAAAAAAAATGGAGTACAATAAATTCTTAAGAAAATTTTGAAAATGGTTGGGCATCTCTTATTTTTTTATTCATCCCTTAAGAAAAAAATGAAACTGGTTTTGATAAATCCATTCAAAACCAAGCACATCCATGAAAAACCTTGAACATTGTAAAGTTTTTTAGCTATTTAGTCAAATCTTCTAACTAGTAACTGAAATATAAAAATATTTTGCACAAAAGTTAAGTATAATTACCAGGAGACTTATAATCTTGCAGAGCAATAACATAGCTAGAGCGCTTTTTAAGACCTTCTAAGAAGTATACCACAAGATCTCTAATGTCTTCAGCATTTGGGCTTTGAAAAGTGAATTCTTCTCCACGAACTGTTGACAATGTGAATGTCTGAGTGAATACTTTGTTCGTTCTGAAAAATTATTTACTATTTATTCACATTTACAAGTTTAAAAAAAAAAAATTAATCAAAGATTATATAGATTTTTTTTTACGACATCTATAAATAATAATTATCTTATTTTAAAATAACTTCATATCTATAGGAAGGTAATTGAATAGAAAGAAATGTGAAAAGCTTTGTTATATAAGTGATTAGATGATAGAACATTTAAATGTTTGTTTTCTCCATTCAATTTTAAACTTTCACATGAATAACACAACCAGCTATTCTCTGCCCTGCAGTGGGACATCTCTGTATGTTGTAGAGGTTAAAAGGGAAGAGGAAGAGGTGTAAAAATGCCCAGCCAGCGATCTTCTGATGTATAATAAACAAATATATATTTTATGGTTAATCATATGAAAGGTAATCAAATTGTTTATAAAGCATGGATGGACAATAGTCGATAGTTGTATAATTTAAAAATAAAAAGGAAGATGAAAAATAACTCAATCTCAAATTACTTCCTTAGAAATATTTTTACAAATCCAATTGTGCCGTTGGAAAAATGTTGCATTTACCTCACCTTCTTTATTTATTTTTCATAAAAAAATATAATTATAAAATCTACAAGAATGCCACAACAGTTTTATTATATTTTAAACTAGGTGTTATTATCAAATTAAATTTAGAATCTTAGAAATTAAAAGACACACACATTTCCAACCTCCTTTTTAAACCATATTTGTCGATGTTTCTTGTTTGAATTCAACAATCAGAAAAATAAATGCAATTTATTTTTCTATATAAATGTGTTTTCCTATCAATAATTTTTTAAATGTCGATAATATCGAACTATCGATAGTGAAAAACTATCGACTATTGCCTGTGCCTACTACAAAGTTAAAAAAAAAATAACAGAGCAATATTACCAAAAATATCGCAAACAATGTTTGTATAACACATTGCGTTAAAAGTGATAAGGGATCTTCTGTAGATAGTTCTACCAAATATTTTTGAGATATAACAGTTAATAAATAATAAACCATAATTTGATATGCAATGTGTTTTTATAAACTTAGCAATTGGGGACACATAGTAAACTGGGACAGGGATTATCGAGGCGCCAATGCATCACAGAATATAGAACAGGAAGAGAATATATGGTTTTCGGTGTTTATGTGGCTATTTTGCCAGAGTATGATTTTTATATAATTTTTGTTAATTCTATAATGTTAAATTTTAATAATACCGAATAATTGTTGATAACTGATTATCCAGAACTGCTTTGCAAAGTTCGGATTGTTGATCAGTTGTTATAATTCAACCAACATTGCTTGAACTTAATAAACAACTTGAAAATTATCTTTTTAAAAAGATATTGTTATTAAAAAAATATATTGATGAGGAAATGGTTAAATCTTGGGCATCAGCAAATGAAGTTCACTTGCATAACTAAAATTATGTCACCTTCAATAAGTTTTATAGTATTTTGAAAAAGAGATGGTTGATTGTGTACAAACTGCTAGCACTAAACTTAAAGTCTTAAAAACTGTGTTATTATTGAAGTCATTAAATTAAACTTAAAATATACCATGAAATTATTCGCTCTCAAAAATATGCTATTAGAACTAACTTCCTTATTTCAGCTGAATACTATGTCACCTGATTAACATTTGCACCAGATTATCATCATGTAAAATTAATTATTGTAACAACAAATTTGGAACATCCTCCCTCTCCCTTCCCCCAGGTCAATTTCCTGCTTTACCAATGTTAAAATCTGGTCACCTTCGCTATACTCTAAGTAGTAATTTAATGATATCCAATATGTATTCAATAGAGTTTTTATAAAAACAAAATATAAATCACATTATGAATAAATTTAAATCATAATAAATTTGTTTCTGAAGTATTACTAAGTTTTATTTTTTCACCTTTCAATATCAATAAAACATCTTATAATAAAATATACTTTAATAGTTTTAAGTGAGGTAAATATGAAACATTGTGGAGAAAAATTGTGGTAAAACTGAGACAGTCATATATTTTGAACTGGACATTGGGTATTAGGGACTGCTTGGATGCTCCCCTGTGTCTGAAATGTCAGGAATATGGTCATACCAAAACTATATGTAAGAAAGACCTTACATGCAGATGATGTGGCAGTTGCGGGCATAAGACAAACAAGTGTCAGGTTAGGAAAAGTGGCTCCCCACATAGGTGCAAGAGTTGTATGATGTCAGGGAAGGCCCTAGATGAAATAAGGCATTGTGCTGGGACTAGAGAGAGCCCCGTGCACTTGTTAAAGATATGGGAAATAGTATAGAAGACCTGCTACTTTTAGTGGCGCTCTGGCTCCACGCTCCTGCTGAGGGAAGGTCCAGTTGGTTTCTGAGAGCCCCTGAACTGAAAAGAGATTATTAAGGCACAGTCCCACCACGGAAAGTGCACTGGACTATGCCACAGGAAAACCCTATATTTATTGTTCCTAGAAATAAATACATACCTTAAAGCATGTATAAAATAAAGAACAATAACAAATAGAAAAAGTATGATCGGCGGCAGCAGCATGCGCACTACACCACTACTGCTGAGAACCCCATATGCCAAAAATGGCCAGGTAGGGGAATAAATAAATTTAAAAAAAAAAAATATATATATTTTGAACTAATCATAATATTTATGAGACACTAAATAGCCAATAGGTGTCAATATTGTCAAAGCTAAATGTATATATTGATTCGAAAAGTTATGATTGTTATTAACTTTTAATAACTTATAATACAACATCCTATTCTATGTTTTAAAACCAAGCAGGTTTATTATCCAATGTCAAGTGATTTATAAAAGAAATTTCTTAAATCACATTAAATTTTCAATATTACAGTAAAGTATAAGATTTATTTTTACCTTTTTATCAGATTGTTTCTTTAAAAAAATTAAATAACTCAATAAATAGTATTTCATTATTTACTCAAACAGATATGATTAAGTGTAGCATCTTAAAATAATTTAATCATGCATCTGAAAACTGATGTCTTATTTTTACTCCTACCCATTTTTACTTATGGACTTCTGCATGAAACCTGAGTGCATAGAAATGAGTGCAATAACTGATTATGAAGACATTTGGCAGCATATATTGAACATACTACAGTTTTCAATATCTATGTTGGGACATAAGCTTAACCTGTTTAGCTGTCTATGGTTTCTATGTTCTTTTAATTTATCACAGGGAAAATACAACAATATTTAACAAAGGAAGCTGTCCGTGACTGACTACATTGAAAAAAAAACAAATCTGGTGTACCTCACTTTGAATAAAAGATATTTTTTTTAAAAGCTCAGTTGTAGGGCACTGAACTTCCAATGCTCAAGGTTCCAGGTTTGAATCCCAACTCATGGCAGAAAAATCATTTATTCTGTTTCATCACCGTAGGGTGACTATGGGGTAAGGAGACACTCCTGAGGCACACCCAGCCTCTACAAAGTGGGAACCGATAATTAAAATAATTAATTAAGGAAAACCTAGTGGTTGAGTGTGATCCTGACTCAATCTCCTCCCAGCACAACCGTTTGCCTTGCAACAGTACCTGCCCTAAATAGTACTGAACCCAAGACCCTTCATGGGTTGTAGTGGTACAGGATAAAAGACAAAAAAAAGTTAGCATACATACTCTGACAGAGGATAAAGTGGAAGAAGAAAAAAAATCTGTTTTATGGAGCATTATAAGAAGGAATTAGTAAGAGCATAGAAGTAAAGAAATCAGAAATGCAAAGACTGGTTTTAAACCACACCTAGATTACTATAAATATAAATGAGAAAACTTGCTGGAATTGAGAAAAGTGATATTAAACAGATGGATGGGATCTTTTTCAGAAGTTTACAATACAATTATGTTATTAATACAATTATAAATTAATAAATAAGAAATAAAAGAATAATTTCCCACAACACATATCAGCTCTGACAAACCAGCTTGCCAACAGGGAGTAAATAAATGAATAAATAAAAAAATAAGCGTAACTTACTTTTGACTAGAAACAGTTGTTATTTCAGGAAAAGAAAGTTCTAGTAAAACTTGTTCTTGATCATCAACAACATAAACACCAGTCCAATTTACAGCTATTATTACATCATTTTTAGGTAAATTAGGTCCTGGCAATGAATAAAAATAGGTAAATGGAACAATAAGTGGATGAGACAGATTGATAAATTATTTAGCGCATTATTTCTAAGACTTCATTGAGCCAAACAATTTTTTTTCGAGTATTCTTTATCGAGACTTAGAAAAACTGATAACTTGTATTTCAATATTTTTTAAAATGATTATCTAAATACTAGGCAGCTATTGTTAGTGCCATAACTTTAAGGAAAACAGAAATAAGGATTATACACTTATATTAATTTAATAATAATTTATTATTTTCATTTAAGTATATATTTTAGTTAACTAATATAAATTATTACAAACCATAAACTACTAATATATAAATAAAATATACCTGAATTCCTATAAGCCTCATAAAACCTGGAGAAAAGTAGAGGCCACTTGAATTTCGCATAGCTCACTATATCTTCCTTTACTCTTAAAGTCAATACCATATCTTTAACATAATAACTCTGCAAAAAGAAAAAACTTGCTTAATAAGATAAATTGAGAATGTGCTTTTAGATTTCAAAGTTTATTAATTTATAAAACTATTTTATTTTAATAAATTGAATAAATAAAAAGTTTAATTAAATATCAGGTAGACACCTTTTTAAATGCTTGAAGAATTAAAGTGGCCCATCGTTCAATTGATTTATCACCATTTGTTAAGCAATAATCAGGAATATAGCTAGGCAAGAGGCCAAGTAGCCGTTCTGTATTCATATCTGATCCATATTCTATGTAGTATTGCTGAGCAGCAATCATAGCAAGATCTTCTTCCTACAATATAAAAATAAGTATCAAATATGGAAAACATTTTTTAAAATAACATTATAATAATATAGATTTGAATAAAGAGCAATGTATTTCAGTCAGCAAGTCATTATTATTTCTTAAGAGATTAGTACCATGAGATATTTAAGGGAAGTGGGTTGTTGGCCCTCTGTCCCTGAGTCAGGTGAAGGGGCTGCCTCCTCGGAACATCCTGACTTGCTCTCCCGTCCAGGGTGGCTACCTAGGGAAAAAACCCTAGGATGTGTACTGTTCCCCCAACCTGGAGGACCATGTAATGGAGAATTCGCACTAATAAAGAGCTGTATCAAATGTATGCGAGGGCGGATTTGGTCTCAATTGTGAGGGGAAACCAGATCAGATGGTTGGGCCATGTGGAACGTATGCTCCGAGACGCAATTCCCAAATGTTTGCCAGAGGATCGGGCTGCTGGAAAACGTGGAAGAGGAAGACCATGCCTGAGATGACTGGACTGGGTAGAGGACAGCCTGAAAAGGATGGGAATTTGAAGATAGAGAATGCTCGCTAGAGGAGAGTGGCGAAGGATCATAACAGAGGCCCAGGTTCTTACAGGACCGTAGTGCCAAGAATAATAAATAAAAAAAAGTCATTATAACTGGTTTTCAATCTGGATGTGACAGGTAATTATTTATACTCTTACAGTAGTCATGGATTGACTCTAGAATCAGGAATTCTCCTAGGCTGATCCAGTCTCTATTAACTGGGTATTCTTAATTAATTAATTGATTAATGGGAAAACCTATGATCTCTCAAATCATCTTCTTGCATAACTGTTGACCCAGAAAGTACTGAAGCCAAGACCTTACAAAGGTTGTCGTGTTACAGTTTTTTTTTTTAGGTATGAATAGTATGTGTGACAACATTAGTATAATTAAAGATAGCAATAAAATAATAAAATTTTGTTTCATGATGAATTCAACTCTAAATGCCCTGCAATTTCAGTTTAAAAATTAAGTTAATTCATATGAAATAATACATTTACAGTAGCAATAGAACAAAATAACTGTATACATTATATATATGCAAGAAACTTATAAACTAATATTGACAAAGTTGATGATTAGACTTTTAAAATAAAATATTGTACATCGAGTAATCACTAAATTAAGAAAATATTGCAGGCTGAGAATGATAAGACTTCAAAACTTCAGCTTAAGTTAATGTCATTAAAGTAAATAAATCAATTATATGGAAGTCTAAAGTAATGAATAAAAATCTGTATAAGACATATCTTTTTTTTTTATAAGAACACATTTTCATCTTGTGAAAAAAATCAGTGAAATAATTATTAATACTCAGAAGAGGAATCTTATGTTTACATTTTTTTTTTCCTTTCTTACTGAAAGCAGTAATGTACTACATTTGATAAATACTTTTCAAAAGCATAATTTTATCATTAAAAAAGAATCACAAGAAACCTTTAAAACTGTTGATAGATTTAAAAAAATAAGCAGAGCTTCCATAATAATTAAGATATTTAAAATAAATAAAAGTTAAATGAAACAAACAACTAACCTTATCACACCTATATTCACCAAATTTCACTCCACGAACAACTTGCTGATATATTAGATTTGTTGCAACTTGATCTTCTGTAGGATCATGCCACGGTGCAAAAATTTCTTTTCGGAAAAAAAGCCTCCATGGAGCATTCCTTTCTTGGGCACCTTGTTCTTTTGCATATTGTTCACACTGAGAAATAGCATCCATCACATGGTCTCCACCACTTCCTAAAGAAGATACCTATTTAAAAAAAAGAGTAGTCAAACATTATATATATTTCACATTTAAATTAAACTAATAGTTGATTTTTTAAACTGTATTTTATAAAATAAGATGAAATAACCTTGTCAAATAAAGCAATATACAATGAAAACCCAAACTGATCTTTAAGAGCTATTTTATCAGAAAGTTGGTTGCAAAGTTCTCTTGCCGTTGTAGCTGAATCAGCTAATAATGTTTTTGTGTTCCCATCCATAAAGGTTATTGGCAGCATGATAGGTTTTTTTGATTTAGTAGCCTGGAAAAAAAAAAAATATATATATATATATATATTTAATGTAATGAACAGTGAAAATTTCAAAAATATTAAGAACAAGAAGAAATTCAATACCTAGATTAGCTCTTGAATAATGTAAAAAAACAGACAATTAAAAAAAGAAAAAAGTTATGCAAGAATTTAATATTAAGGTAGTGAAATGTAAACACCTGTAATTCCAACCAGCTTGGGGGTTGATTTCTTGTCCCATTATTAAATGTTCTTTTCAAACGATCTTCACAGTATGGAGCATAACCTGGAGGTCCCTCCCGGATGAAAGCTCTTAAGTAACTTACGAACTTTTCAGAAGGTGCAAAACAGCCAACACAAAGAGAAAGTAAAATCCAACCACGTGCATGAGATGATTTTGAGGGATTGTTAGTAAGTTGTTTACAAATTTGACAGTATATTTCGTCTCTGGAATTAAATTGAATTTATAAAATGCAAAAACATTAATGATTCCTGTGGGGAAAGCACATTAATAGATAACAAAATAAAAATTACCGTAGTTCAGCTCTCAAGATGCCATGACCAATTATAAAATGAAGTTTTTCCAAATTGGAAGTTGGCCTAGCTTCCAACCAAGATTGATAGCTATCTGCAGTATATTCTTCATCTTGCAGTTTTCTTCTTACATCTTCACCAAGCTTATTCTTTCTTTTCAAGGTTAGTGAAACTAATTTATGCCGTATCGAACGTGGCTTCTGTTTTAAAATGGATTCCTAAAAAAAATTCATATGACAATATTGTAAATTTATAATTTGAAATCATCAATAAAATAATGATAAGATTGTAATGTTCATTAGTGACAGAAATATTTAATTTTTTTTTTATTACAGTTATATTTTGAAACTTGATTAGTAATAATTTCAGTAAAATATTTTTCAAAAAAATAGAGAAATCAATATTTTATTTTTCAAGTTATTCACAATTTTGTTTAGTTTATCTACCAACACAATAATAAAACAAAAATAAATTAAGAATCCATCAACAGTGATATTCTAAAAATAAAAAAATGATAATAAAACATTTTATATATTTTCGTTCTGTTGGCTTTATAGACCTTGTAGTTTTGAAGTAAGGAATAGAAAAAATGTCAATGCCTCCTATACCTCTATCCAACTTGGGATACTACTTTTCAGTTTTCAGAAGTATCTTTGCTGACACAATCTATCACCTTGATTTTGGTCTGCCAAGTTGTCTCTTAAACTATTGGTATTCATTATTATGTAGAGGCTTCTAGGTGGGTTACTACGAGCTATATATCATGACAATTTTAATCTTTCTTATTATTAGTCATGAGATATAGAATGACCAGTTTCTGTAAGGAGGTCTTTAATAGACCTTCTTCTCTATGCTGTAATACTAGATCCCTCCTCTTATGGAGAGGAGGACTCACCTTTCTAGAGTGCTTGTTAGGATACAGATTTTGCAGCCATTTACCAGAACTGGCTTAAACATAGGATTGAAATTCGTTAATTTGAGATTTCTAGAGATTTTTCAGGATTTCAGTACCTTTGAAAGAAAGGAAGACAAATATGTTTGTGCTAGTTATACACTAGTGTATTTCTGATGCTTGGTAATTTATTGAGATTATTGTGAAGCCAAGTTATTTGAATATGTCTACTCTTGTTAATGATTTGCCATCTGCCTAGATTCAGTTAATTATTTGTATTTCCAGATTAACAGGATTCCAGGTGTGAGCTTCAAGAGGTGATAATAAGATGTATCCTTAGTACTTACAATCATTCATGCACTCTCAGCTCAGTCATGATCTTTCAAAGACAGTTTCTGTCTTTGGCTACTTTGAAATCAAGTAATAAGATGTGCACATCCTGAACTACTTCAACAATCTTAATAGGCTCCAATTACCTCCTTAAAACCGTTCCTAATATTCCAACTCTGTTCCTGCATGATAATCCCATCAAATTTTACCCCACCCTCAAAAACCTTGGAATAACCTTTGATCAAACACTTTCCTGGAAAAACCATGTAACCAATATTTCCCGGCGTACCATTTTCTCTCTAAAACGTCTAAATTATTCTCGTCACTTATTTCCATTTGAAACCCGTAGGCTCCTAGTCACTTCCTTAATTTTCCCCCACTTTGACTATTGCTGTTCGGTATATGGGGGCGTCTCTGGGGATCTCGAGGCTAAACTAAAACGTTTAATAAATTGCTTTGTAAGATTCATCTTCGGGATACCAAGGGACGCCTCTGTTTCCCATTTTTATGGAGAGTTGAAGTAGCTTTATCCTTCCTACAGTCTTAAATATTTCCTGGCATCCTTCCTCTTTCAAGTTATCCAATCACACCGTCCTTCATACATCTCTGAGCTCCTTAAATTCAAATCCTCTGTTTGTTACCATAATACTCGTTCCCGGTCTTCTGACTTATATATAAGGGCCCATCGAACCACTGCTTTCGACAGATCTTTCATTATCCGATCCTCATCCCTTTGGAACTACATCCCTTCTCACATTCGACAATCTAATACCCTTCCTACCTTTAAATCCTGTCTGTTCAATCATTTCTTATCAATTCAGTCTCCATGAAATGTAAATAGATACTAATGTAAATATGTATATAAATTATTAGCTCGTTCTTTGTTATTTTTACTTTATTTTCAATTTTTTATTATTAACTTATTTAAGTTAGAAAGTAACTTATAATTTTTAATTTTATTACTATGACTGTTTAATTACTCTGTATCTTCATTTATGTATCTCTGAGGCTCCTTAGCCCATATTTATGTCTTTCTGTATTATTCTAAAGGGACTCGTCCCAGAATAAATAAAGTATTATTATTATTACTTCCATCTGCTTTAGGATGAAGATTTGATTTAGCGTGCTTCTTCCTCTTCTAAATCCTATTCAATGGTCACCTATTATATTTTCATGAAACAGGTTGTGCAGTATATTGGCCATGTTCTTGCAGGCAACCAGAAGGAATGCAATACATTTATAATTATCATACTCATACATGAAGCTCTTCTTTAGGTTAGGAAATTTAAATAGAATTAATACTGATAAGACACATGGTCTAAGCCAATGGTATCCTTTCCTCCTCTCATAATTTCTGGAATATTTTGGCTCTTAGATGATTTTCTCAATCTTTAAGCAGCTCTGAAGGGAAGTTGTCAGCCCCTATGGCCTTTCTTCTTGAACCACACAGCTCTCAACTACTAATATAGTACTAATACTATTGTTTTCAGTATTTGGAGCACAAATTGTTTCAAAACACAGAAAAATCTGAGCCACCAAAATAGAAAATCAGATCAACATTTAATTGTTACATACCTACAAATGGACAGGCTAAACTCATTTAATGCTGTAATTTGTCAGTATTATAATTCAAACATTGTATCTTCTCACTCTCATAAAGCATTTAAATTACAAAAAATGAAGTTTAAGATAAAAAATGTTGAGACAAAAACACAATCAATAAAACAACTCATAACTAAAAAACAAAAATAAACATGGCATTGGAGAAATTAATATGCAACAAATGTAGCAACAGGGAACGTTTTACAATGTTATATACATGTATATGTTATATACATGTATATGTTATATACATGTATATATATGTTATATACATATATATATAAACAACAGTCTCTCAGGAAAGCAACCTACCATAAACTTTGCCATTGATATTCAAATAAAATAATTCTAGCATTTATTAAGGCCTTAATGCTATATGGACATAATTATATAACATTTTTACATATAATTGCAATAATCATAATTAATCATTTACGTATACTAACTGGATCCATGCCCATTAACTGTGCTTCTTGAAATTCCTTGCTCCGAATAAAATTTCTCCCTAGTGTTGCAGTTACTTTAGACATCACTGAAATATTATCTCTGTCCATTGTATGATATCTAGGTTCTGGTAGATCTCCAGTGAATCTTAAAATAGTTACCCAAAGTGCTTGAGCTGCCTATAATAAAGTTTTCTGTTTGATTTGATAATAATGAAAACATTTTATTTTTATATTTAAATTAAATAAGTTACCAGTTGATCCCCTTGGGTATGTAAAGGCAGTAAAGGATGTTTCAAAGGTTTCCTAGAATACTGATGTGTCACATTGCCTTGAAAATAGGTTGCAGCAAACTTTTGAAATTTAAACTCCGATAAGTCTTCTTCATCTTCAGTAGAAAGCTGAATTTGACTGATTATTTCATGCTGATCAGCTTTAGCTGTAGGCAAATCCTGAAGAGATATTTATATATACTACCTTTCATTTTATATTGTACAAATGTATAAATAATCACACTATCATATGTAAGTATAGTCCGTTTTCTATTGTAACTGCTAACCACGAAAACTAATAGCCAGTCACCGAAGACTGAGCTGAAGAAGAGTGGAGAACAGAAACAGAGAGGAAAAATGGAGGAGTGGAGAACAGGGATAGAGAGGAAGAATGGAGGAGTGGGGAACAACACTAGAGAGGAATAACGGAGGAGTAGGGAACAGAAATAAGAGGAAGAACAGAGGAGTGAGGAACTTAAATAGAGAGGAAGAATGGGGGAGTGGAGAACAGGGATAGAGAGGAAGAACGGAGGGGTGAGGAACAGGAATAAGAGGAGGAATGGAGGAGTGTGCAACTCAAATAGAGAAGAAAAATGGAGGAGTGGGGAACATAAATAGAAAGGAAGAATGAAGGAGTGGGGAACAACAATAGAGAGGAAGAATGGAGAAGTGAGCAACTTAAATAGAGAGGAAGAATGGAAGAGTGGAGAACAGAAATAGAGAGGAAGAATGGAGGAGTGGGGAACAGGAATATGAGGAAAAATGGAGGAGTGGGGAACAGAAATAGAAAGGAAGAACGAAGGAGTGGGAACAGCCTTAATAACTGACCAAGATATACTATACCATTGGGAGAAATTAATAAAAATATCATTCATACTGAAGTACTTTATATTTTCTGTAATATAAAAAAAAAAAAAAATTAAACTGAAGACATATTCTATAAAGTAATTGTATTTTTAGTGATTGAGATTTTTTTTTTCAAATAATTTTGAGATGCTATTCAGGCAATCAGATGCAACTGGATATGTACCCATAATGAGTAATAAGCATGTGTTATCCAACTTTAACATGGGTCAAATGAAAGAGGCACAGGTAGTAAATCAAAATTAATACGTTAGGATCACTGATAACATGCATGCTTGCCTACACATGCACGCAAGCATTCATACACACAGACAAAAATATATCTAAAATATTAACTCAAAATATTTTATACTAACCATGAAAACAGATGTTTCTCTAGTAGGCAAAGGAGCTTCACTACTTGAATCAGGAAGAAAGTCGAACATGGCTTCAACTAATTTACTGTCATCAACTGGTTCATCTTGTTTTTTTGCTGCATCGTTTATTATATTTTTCTTTATTTCCATCAGTCTCCTTTCTTCATTTTCTTGTTCAAGCTCTCGTCTCTCAAGTTCTTCAAGACGATCCTATTTGTATAAATACCAAGAAATCATGATTCTATGAACAAAATGATATAGCTCTGATTCTACTAAACTGAATGGTTTTTACCCTATAATGTCGCTCTGCTATTTCTTTCGCTCTTTTGTTACCAGCTTCTTTTAACTCTTTCTCTTCTATTTTTTTTAGTTTTAAAGCTTCTATTTGCTGACGATATTCCATCTATCAAAGATAAAATAGTTATCTGTTATCTAACAGTAAATAGCAGTACAGAAAGATATATTAAATAAATAAAAATTAATAGAACTGAAAATAATGTATCAACAAGACATTTGTAAAATAGTTTCTACCAAAATTCATGAATAATATAAAGAATCTATATCGATTCATAATAACAAAAAGTATAGCATTTCCAAGTCAAATGTAACTTTTTTCATTTTAAATATAATCTTTTCTAAATAAAATATAACCCTTTCCAATTCAATTGTAACCCGGACCAGTGAATCAATTCGTAAAAATTATGTTTCATTTCCTTTTTTATTTAAAAATAATTATTGTAATTACAATAATGACTTTAGAAATAATTTTGCCATATTATTACAATATTCTTTTCGTTCGTTAGATGACTGAAATTAGATGGTAATTTCAAATAGGTAGGTTTAAGATTAAAAAAAAATCATTAATTTTTAGATCTTTTTATAACATCTTTATATATTATGTTATTTCTTACAGACCCTATATTTTTTTTTAAGATAAGAATAATAAGAATAAGCTCATCGTCCAGAAAAGTCAGGGAAAAAGTTATGAATAAAAAGAAACTTTATTTGTGCATAGCTCAAATGTGTATATCCGTTGATTGTAATATTACCTAGAAGTGACACATTTTTATTTTTTTAATAAGAGTGCCAGTGATAACGAAAGCCACATTATCTATTTATATTTCATTGTATTTATTTAAGCATAGATGGATATACAAATTAAAATTTTCATATTGCCCTTATCTATATTATTAATAATAATTTTTATCAGAGCAATCAATAATGAAAACTGCACATGTATATTTAAGTAATATTATCTTCAAATTCATCAGCTGTGGTATAACATAAACTACAGGTGTTACATAACATGATCGGTGTTACATTTGGGAGCTATCCTAACCTCTGGGTCAAGCTTAAGCGCAAAGGGGTGTCTTCGTTATTCCTCGATATTACCTTACCAGCCCTTATTTTTTCTTTGGTTAATCATAAATTTCTTTCATAGTTTATATTTATGTATTTCTTATTACTATTAACAATGTGAGATGGTTCTTTATTTAAATTAAAAAAAATAAAGTTACTTTAGAAGAAGAAAGTTTATTAGTTATCAAAATATTTTTTAAGAGAGTGAAAGTAAAAATAAAATTCTTCTCCCATAATACAGTGCATCTATTTCCATATTATATTACCATTTTATCAGTGACTGATATAGTGTGTGTATTATTCACAGGAAACAGCTAGTAAAATTAAATTTTTATATTCTGGCGTTAATAGAGCTCATATTCTAAAGAAAAATAACAATATTAATTTTTTCAAAATTAAGTATAAATGGTTCTCTGGACTGACCCTGTAGTAAAGGTACATCTAATCACTATAAAGTGAATGTACTCAATCTTCCCCCTTCATCTCTCCCCTCCCCCAATACCCAGCAATATGTATACATATAAATATTTTCAAGGTCTTGGTAAATTTTTTAAAAACCCTCAATAATAAGGTATAACACCCGTATAAACACTAATATGTACTTGGCTAATTAAATTGGCCCACACTATATCAATAAAGAAATAAAAGTAGGATAAAAATACTTACTTTCATTTTTGCAAATCTCCTCTGTGCAATGAATCGTCTTACATGAGATTGAATTTTTAAAATAGCATTCATCTTTTTAACATATGCTTCCCTTACAAGTTTACCTCTTGCCCTAGCTTGTAAGGAAACAATGTGGCCTCTTAAATGCCTAAATCTATGAGAGAGTACTCTGGATCTTATTAGAGCTTGAAGCCTCATATAGCCAACACGCATTCTAAGGTATCTCCTTCTTTGGGCCCAACCTGACCAGTACTTCTGTATGATCATTGCTGCAGCACGCATCCTTTGATATCTAATCAAACAACAGAAATAATAACAATCCATTTGATAAGTTAATACCATGAAAAAATTATAAAATGAATCATTAATTAAAGTTGTACATAATATTAATGAGGAATATACATAAACAAGGTGATATTTAGATAATTTTTAAATACCTTCTTCTATAAACCCAGCCCCTAATACTCTTTTGAAGAACAACTATATTTCTAGTTAAAACTCTGTCTCTTTCTTGTTCCAAGAACAGATCGTGAGCATCCTTTAGAAATACTTTAGTGCTACCCAGCTGATAATCTGATTTTCCAAGGGATGCTTGGCAAATACGAGCTGTGGCAAGTTTGCAATCAGTCTATAATGACGTTTATATTATTGAATAGTATAATAGCCTAAGAAAAAACTTAATCTAGAGATGAATATATATAACAATAATAAATTAAATTATATACTTTATGTGAAGGTGGGATCCCAGGGATGAGAAATCTGTATCGTTCAACAAAATCCTTGAATGAATGGCGGATAGGATAGCCTGCACGTCTTATTCGAATAGTTTCCATCATTCCTGAGTACCGCAATTGCCGACAGCAGAGTCCACGATCAAACATCTGTTGAAGAAAAGGAATCTTAGTGTTTGACAGTTGAAAAGATAATCAGTAGTCATAAATCAGTTTAATAAAAATATTAATTAATAACAGGTATTTAAATAATCTATAAATAAAAAAATAATTGTCTATTACTATAAGGCTCTTATTTTTATGCAAGAGTGGGTTATCCAACTGGTTACCGACTTATTCTAGCCAATATGTTCAAGATTTATTTGATGGATTTCATAGGCACAGACTTCAGAGTAATGATCCCTCCCAATAATAAAAGAGAGTGGGCGATAATGTCGTTTGATCTTTCGTCTGCCTCAATCAGAAAAGAAAGTCTGCACCTATGATGGGTCCACCAAAGCTAATAGACAACGTTTAAAGGGCTGATGACAACTGACAGGCCACTTACTCTAATGCATCAGGATACTGCAACTTACTGGAACACCACAACCCCACAATAGACTAATGATTTGTAATATAATTTAATGAGGAATAGTAACTCTGAAGCAAAATATAAAATAATAAATAATATCCTGACTACATGACATCATGCAATCCCAATTGAATGACTAATTAAACAATTTTATTCTTTATTTTAATTAATTTTAATTTGTTGTTCCTGTATTTGTTTTATTAAACAGACCTAAGAATAACAATGCTAAACAAAAAAATAAATCCATCTAGATAATTTACAATGTTTCCTAAATTTTAAAAACTCCTGCATGGTCTAAAACAAAAAGTGATCTGATCAAATAATAATTTTTAACTTGTTTTTGTGCAAACCAAGCCATTCAACTTCACGTTTCATTGATAGCGATAGTTTAGCGGTATGTGAGCTGTATAAGTCTATTTTTGATAGCAGACTGAGACCTCTGGAGAAGAAGCCCATTGGAGAGGAACAAGCTGGTTTCCAACCGAGAAACAAACGAAGAATCACGTATTCTCTATCATAAAAACACTGCGAAAATCATGGGATTGCAATAAAAATATGTATGTAACCTTCTATGACCTTCAAGCATCCTTTCACTCTATCCCAAGGAATGATATTTGGGAAGAACTAAGAACATTACAAAAAGTGTGGTGGAAGCTATTATTATGTCCATATATCAAGGACCCAAAAGGAATTTTCGGGCTAAATGGTTCAGAGTCTAAGTGTTTAAATATAGCTGGGTGTTCAAACAAGGTACCTGTTCAAGCCTTTTTTCTGTTCACGCTATAATAATTGGATGATAAACTATAACCAGTTTTCTTATGTGCTAACAGTAATATTATTTCTATTATTCAAACATGTATAAGTTATTAATTGGTCAGTAAATTGGTTCATCGTGTTATTTCTTCTGTTGATTACTATATCAGATACTATTATTTTTCCACCATTAGCCTTTATTATTTCCAACTTTGTACAATCATGTATATACTAGTAATTCTATATCTTTTTCACTCCTAAAACAGTTTCAAGTTCTTTAAATCTTTCTATTTAGAAAATGGAGACCTCCAAGATTGGATGTCTCTCGAATGGATGATACCAAAATTTCCAAACTGCTGATGTCAGAGGATCTGCACAGCAAAAGAAGAGTGAGTAGACCAAGGGGAAGATGGCTAGACAGAATGTCTGTGGACTCAAGAGACCTACAAATTTGGAACTGGACAGATGCATCACAGGACACTGCCAACTATCAGAGGATTTTAGAGGCGGACCAGATCCAGTGATGGGTTGTTGCACCGGCTATGATGGTCATGTTTTTAATTAATTTCTCTAACCTCTTATAGAAAAGTATTGTTAGTTATTATGGAGAGAACATAATTAATAAACCTTTTTTTTTTTTAACTATGATCTGTTGAAGGCAAAATATGATTGTTCATTAATTTGTTGTATGCATTAAAAAAATAAAATAGAATATTAGTACAGTTAATGCAAGGGCATGCAAAATAATATGGACAAATTAATAGTATTAATAAAGAAGCTTTACTTTTTTAATCCCAAAAATTCTTAATTAATTAATTAAACACATAATATAACAATAGAAAATATAAAACAATAATAAGTAAATATTTACCATTGGTTTTTTGAATTCATTGGGTTTTATACATCTAATAAAAAAAGGTTGACAATTACTGAGTGTTCTCATTAATAGATCTAAAGATTTTTTAAACTGGGTAGACAATGTTGGTGTTCTTTTCCTGGTTTCAGCCCCCATTCCAATATCTTCATTAAATAAGCTTTTCAAGAACTTGTTATGACTGATATGAATCAGTTGTAATAAATCAGCATTAAATGTATCTCTATTCTTTTCAAGAAAACCTGAAAATATTAAAATTAAAATTTGGATCATTATATTGAGATCTCAACTTGACGCAATCCTGGAAAAAAAAACCTATAACTACTAAAAGCTAAGTAAGTTTACTGATACATAAAATTCTCTAAATAGTAAATATTACAATTTAATATAAAGTAGAATATTCAATCTAAATCTAGAATATTAACAACAGACTAATTGATGAGAAACAATAATGTGCCAAAAATATATCACCGAAATATCTGCAGGAAATCGGGATTATGAGACAATGGTGTGGCTTCATACTGTTTTATCCCAGAAGAAATAGTCTAAAATGCAAATATAAAAGTTAAATAAAATTATTATGGACCACAGAGTATTGCATAACCGGCCAGAAATGTGGTTATATACAAAAAAGATAAAACAGTCAGAATCATAGAAATAGCTGTCCCAAATGACTCCAACTTACTAACCACAGGGGAAGAAAAATAAAGCAGTTCTAGGAGTTTGTCTCAGAGCTAAGCATGCTTCAGCACGAAGAGAAAGTAACAGTGATCCCTATAATTATTTTATCAAATGGTCTCATATTGAAACTGGCTCAAAAGGCAGTCTTGTGCCCCTGCAAGATCGTGAGAAAATTGCTACATAAATGAAATACCACATCATCGCTACAGTTCCTTGAATTGACTCCCAGAAAGATAAATATGATGAGATCAAATAAATAACAATAATAATAACTGTAATACAGAAAATTCTATTCTGAATTTAAAATAAAAACTCAAAACTTATTAAAGCCCCATACATTATCAATAGGGCACTAGATTCTAAGTTTGCAGGCACCGTAGGTGACAAAAATGTCTGTTCCCATAATCTTATTTTCTTCAGCCCTAAACCATTCAAAGGTCACCCTTACTACTGTAACTGAATCCTAAACATACAAAATCTAATATAATGTTAATTATACTTTTATTAATCAAATATTTAGTCTGATTCATAAAATATGAAAAATTATGTCAGCCAAATGGCCTCCTCTGGACATTCTGTAGCAGATGATTTGTTTGAAATAAATTTTGGTGACTTTTACAAGTTTCAGGGTTTATTTTGGTTATAACTTGCCAGATGTTAGTTTTTATTAGGAACTCCAATATTGTAGGTTTGTTGATATAAACTTGACTCTTAAGAAAACCTCACTAAAAGAAAGCCAATATCGTCAAATCGCATGATCTTGGTGACCAGTTGACATCACCATGATTTGAAATTATGCAATCTCAGAACATTTCATGCAAAACATCTAACAATGCCCACAATGCGTGGAATGTTGCACAGTCTTGAAACCACACATCTTTCATATCAGTATCCTCAATTTTGTGCCAAAAATAACTGGTTATCATGAGCTTATAGTGCTCACCATTGACTGTCTCTGTCCAATTACGCCTCCTGACTACAGTACACACCACACAGTAACTCTTTGGATATGCAATGGAGTCTTGGGTATCATGTGAGAATTTTCCTCATCCCAAATGGAGCAATTATGTTTATTAACATACCCAGATATCTGGAAGTGAGCTTCATCAGAGAAGAAACTTTTCTTTGAAAAATTAGCATCAACTTCCTGCTGCTGTAATACCCAATTAGTGTAAATTCTTTGCTGTCCTTGGTCTCAGGGCTCCAGTTCTTGAGTTAACTGTACTTTATATGGTGTAGGTTAAAATCCCTAAGCAAAATGTGCCAAAGTGATCCATAAGGCCCAAGCTCTGTGAACGATGGTGAATCAATCATTTCAGGCCTTCGCCTACGCTATTACTCACAAAAGCAATCAAATTTCAGATAAAGCTAATGAAATAATCATGTTGTTGAGGAAATCGAAAACATTTTGCATAGAGGTAGGCATTGCCTGGTCCCTAACTACAAGACAATTATGATGACTAACAGTGACAAAACTGATATCTGATGGAGCAATATAATATTAAATTATGAAGAAGAGAACATTTATTTAGGTCAACTCATTCTTTCTTTGAAAGTATGACAAAACAAATCAAGAGGAGAACCACTTTAGAATGGCAGAAATATTGGACCCTCAAGCCTATTATGAAAAGAAATTTGGACATCACAAAGAAAAGGTTATTTTTGAAAGTTTCATAATGCCCTGTTTAAATTATGGTTATCAGACATGGTTTTGAACAAACAAATTAACAATCTGGTAAAATTATAATGAAAGGAATGTAATAAATATTAAGAAAAAATACCACCTCAAAATCAAGGACATAAAAAATGAACAGGCTTCAAAAGCATAAATATTTGTATAAAAGGAATTAAATGGAGATGGGCAGGACATCTGGCTAGAATCACAGATCGAAGAGAACTGACCCCCTATGACCTAAAATGAAGACGTAGCTCGCAAAGAAGACGATGGAGTGACTACCTAAGGACTATTACAGGGCCAAATTGGATTAGGACAGCCAGATGCAAATAAGCCTGGAAGGAACTGTTGAGAGAGAGAGAGAGAAACAACGAATTCCACTTTCCAATAGGAATTTGTCTCCAGGGAAGTTACACCATCATTCCTTAAGAGAAAAGTCCACATACATTAAATAAACAAAAAATGTTAATATTGTATATTTATGTAAATATTAAAATAACATCTGAAGCAACAAGTATTATAACAAGTAAAAAAGAAAGGAAAAAATCAATTAATTTTGGTAATAAAGGTTAACTAATTCTCTATATTCTTTACTTATAAAAACTGACTCTACTAAGATACACCCAGAAACAACTCTTAACACAAATGAGTTCCTTGTTATGGCATTAATACATATTTATAAACCCAGCATGTTTTATGAAAATTTCATGTTCTGCAAAAGAATTATATCTATGTTTTTAATTAGCTATAATGAAAAAAATATATCCTGTTTAAAACATATACAAAAAAAAAACAGTGAAAACTGATACCAGGTTTCAACAATTTAAGATTTTCTTTGTTGTTATTTGTTAATATTAATGTTTCATTTCAAACCTTGATCTGAATAATTAATAATTTTTTCTTTCCTATTATGATGAATAATAATGCTTTGATATTGTCAACTTATCTCAAAATAAACTAGATTAAAAATTTTAGATTATAACTTTACCTCTGGTATCATAAAACACGATTCCAGCAAAGTGGTTCAGACCAAATGAAGTATTTATATCAGATTTTGGTTTTAGATAATTTCTATGAGATCCATGTGTTTTATGCAGTTTAGCCAACATAGTTTGATCTGTACCCTAAAACAATAAAAATACTAATTACGATAAAACATGTCATTATCTAATGTTTTTGTTCTTCCTGATCGATACAAATCGGAAAGATCAAAATTACTCGATTTGAACTAGAAAAACTACCTTTGGCATTTACAAACATCTAATGCATTTGGATAAACATCTTGCAAAAAAATGCCTTTGGTAGCAACTGTTGCATAACTACTCTTGCGAAACGCAAAAGGCATGCAATGCTGGATATGTAACTCTACTGGTATTTGGCTTGCCATTTCACCAAAAATTACAACAACAAAAATTAATTTAATTATTTGCAACAAATAAAGTCACTATAACCTTAGAATGTCTTTGCCACGACATAGATGTAAACAGTGAGCTGCCAAATGGCAATCGAATAGTGACATGCACAGAAACGATATTACTTTCTAATCCCCCTAATAAATATAGCTGTCACCATGATAAATGTGTGAATACACTAGAATGAAAAGATCATTTACACATTAAAGGATTTATAAACAAAAAAGGAGAAATATCATGATTATTGTTAATAAAGATATAACCATAGCATTTTCATGTAGATTTCCAAATCAATGTAGATATAATAAAGAATGAAAATAATAAAACAAAATAACTGGTAAATAGTTACACAATTACAAAGAAGCTAAGAGTAACCTCAAAAAAACCTTGATTATGAATTTTAATAGGAGTTTAAAAATAAAAATTTTTGTTTTAAAACTATGGCCCCTTTCATGATTATGTGGTATTACTACTATACATGCAATATTTTAAATTCATTTAGTTACATAGAAGAAACAGCAGGGCGATTCAATTTAAAATCATTCTACTTAAAACCCTGAAAATGGTCGCTTACATTATATAGTTAAAACAATAGATTCATAACTCTCGCAACATTTATTATTTCAATATAATGTTTCACAGAATGTTCACAAGACTATAAGAATGCTTTTAACCACATGTTTATTAACAGGTGCAGTCATAAAGATCAAGTTTAGGGATCATAAAGATTTTTAAGAAAAAACATGAAATTTAATACAAAACACATATATATCTCTTTATTTTTAAAAGTAATACTTAAAATAGGAATTAACATGATCTGGAATAAAAATGGTAGTTTTTTTTACTGCTATTATGTATTTAAATATAGCAGGAATCAACAAACAAATTACTTATATAGTTCGTAGTAATAAATACAATAATAAGATTTGATATATAATTATACGACTAATTAGTAGTTTGACATTCATTGTTCAAAATGGAATGATCATTAAAAGTATTAATACAATTTGAAAATATTAATAATATCAAGATTAATAGAGTATTAGTCTTTTATTATTATTTAATTTAGTTTCTTTTTAAATAAATATATTTATCTGTATATAGCAAACTTTATTTGACACACAACTTGTTAACAGTGTGAGAACTCACCCGGACGAAGATATAATGCCTATGTTTAAAATTTAAAAACAAGAAATTAAGGGCAGAACACACCTAAAATCATGATTTATTCTCTGATTTTTTAAAATACTATTGTAACACAAATTAGGGAGTGGGGTAGCTCAGTGGTAGAGCACTGATCTTACAATGCTCGATATCCCAGGTTTGAATTTCGGCTCATGGGAGAAAAATTATTTATTCTGCTTCATCCACTGTGGGGCAACCCTGGGGTCAGGAGAACCTCCTGGGGCACACACAGCCTCCATAAAGTGGGTACCTTAATAAAAAATTAATTAAGGGGGAAAACCTGGCAGTTGAGTGTAATGTCAATCAAATCACCTCCTGCACAACCGTTGACTTAGAAACAGTACTTTCCCTAAATAGTACTAAACCCAAGACCCTTCATGGGTTGTAGTGGTAACAGTTTTAGGTTTTAACATGAATTTGTTGTAACCTTGTTAAAACTGAATTATGAATTCATGACTTCAAGCCTATAAAATTTGATAAAAATATGGATACATCTAATTTATCTTTGGGCTTATGTGTTAAATAATCTACAGAAGGTGCTTTATTTATTAGTAATAAGCCATAAAATGCTTTATTATAAGTAACAGTAACTTTTTAACTACATATGAATGTGAATAATGTGTCAATTGTTTTCTGTTGACTTAATTATACTAACAGTAAAAAAAAGACCAATATTATTTAACACCCTGGTAAAATATTCTATAATGGTTATTTAAAATTAATTAATACTTTGATAACTGAAGCGTCTTTTGTCTTAAACTATGTTCTAAAATTTATATTTTTTCTTCAAAATATTTATGATGTTCAAGTTTGAACTAATAGTGATTGCACCATTTAACAGATGGTGAATGTATTTTTATCTTATTATTATATATATTTATTTATTTCACCCTACCTAGCTATTTCTGGCATACTGGGTATCTTATTATATATGTCTATGTCAACACATTTGTATAAAAAAATTATTGATTTTTAATAACTTTGTCAGCGCATTAAGTATTGTCAACAGTTGTCACTAATGCAAATAAATTTATTTTTTGCTTCCTCACTACCGAAAGTAGGGAAGCATTGTATTCGTGCGAGGTTAAAAAAAAATGTTGTGCTCAGAATCGAAAATTTTCACTACATTTCAGACATTAAGGATCACATTTGATTCGGTGTCTGTCCTCCTGTAGTCAAATCGATGTAAAGGGCATATCATCTACTACCTTTATCCGACTTTCATGAAATTTTCAGGGATTAAGAGGGTTAGTGTCTAGATGGTCCCATATTAAATTCTAACCAGCACTTCGCTTACGCATGATTTGGCTTAAAGTTGGATAAAGGTAGGTATTTGTGAAAAAATAATTTAGTGTCAAATTTATTGAATTCTGCCCATTGCTTTCTTTTATATATGCGCAAACGTGTTTTCCTTAATACGTGTACATCTCTAAAACCGCAAGTTCGATTTGGCTCAAATTTGGAGGGAATTTAGGGATTGGTAAACGTAAAATGAATTAGGCATCAATTTTATCAAATTCTATCTACTACTCCAAAAAGAAATACTTCTGCTTTTAGATCAGGAAATGTGTTACTTGATATACCTATAGTTTGAAAACGGCGCATTAAATTTTACCCAAACTTGGAGGAAATTTGGAGAACAGTATAAAAATTACTTAGTATCAATTTCATTGAATTCCATTTAACAATTAAAATTAATGTTCCCCATGCCTGTCATGTCATTATATCATGCATCGCCATCACATTTGCTGATTGTCACCAATAAGTTGATAGGCGCAAATATATTTTTTTGATAGACAAAAAAAAAATAATAATATAAATAATTGTTAACAATATAATGGCTGTGAAATGTTTAAGCCACTGATCATATGGAGTGGGAGTTAGATTGGGTTATAAAATTTTAGGTTTTGTTAAAAAAACTATTGATACTGTATTGTTTGGTCGATTCCAAACATTACTGGCATAACACTTACTGCTTTACTTAGATTTCTTGTAATTTTCAGTAAATTTAAAGTAATTATTACTCTGAATTTGTAAACAAACAAAACGTCTCATTTGTGATTGTGTTTATTTCCTTGAAGTTCAATCAGTTCGTCTTGGTCTTGATTTCCTCCTTAAATATCGAAGTTGTGTGAGCTTCACCCATATTTTTATATTCAAGCTTAATTAGTTTTATTCTGACTGAAGAAAAGTATTGGTCTCGTTAACTCCGAACAAACAACAATTTGAATTTTTCCTATGGATTTCCTGCACTATTATTAGTGCAAATGGTCGTATGTAAACATTTTCAACTTTTATTCTATTTGTGCTAAAGTTGACATTTTGTAGTCTGCAACTGATATAATTAGTCTGCTACTATGGAACATAGTAAAGAACAATAAAATATGAAATTATACCAATAAAAGCATAAAGAAATAATGAGTTTTTACATAAGACCTTTTGCACTAACAGTAGTGAAATGCATGTTCAGTATGCAATGGTATTTTTTTTAAATTAAGAATAATCAATATGGAATCTTCACATACGGCGCTCTCTCGCATCTTAATATTAGCTGATAAACGAAATTCGTGGATATCAAACCAGTGAATGTTGAAGGGTAACTGTATTTCCGAATCGGCTTCTCCCAGAGATATTATTCTCATACAAAAAATTGTATACCTTATAATATAGATACATTTTAGCCAATGAAAACGGTGAGAAAGCTATACTGACCTTACTTGGCAGACATTCTTTTATACATTTTTAAAAATTAATATCTTGAAAAAAAAAAGGTTTACGTATGTAGTTGGATTTTACGGAATGGTATGTAGATGGAAGAAGAGAGGATAGGCATGACTGAGATGGGCAAATGAGGTAATCTATTAAAGATATGCAAGCATTTAAGAGAGTAACCATATAGGTAATGTAATGAATCTGCCTAGGTCAGAAAATAATTTTAAATTTCATTAAATAATAATATAGAAGTAAAAAATATTTATTGGGAAATTAAAAACAAACAATTACCACATTCAAGGTTAGAATAATAATAAATACCTTTGGAAATTTTGATTCTTCATCTATAAGTGCCATAATGTTTAACTGTTTTACTGCAATTAAATCCAGTGCATCTTGATTATCAACAAACTCTATATGTTGCCAGTTAATATTCTCTAAATTATATTCCTCTTGTTCTAACTTAAATATATGTTGCACAAAGAATTGCTGTAAATTTTCATTGGCGAAATTTATGCAAAACTGTTCAAAACTACAAATAAACTATATTTAATACTATTGAATTATATAAATATAAATAACATAATAGCAACAAAAAAAAAGATACCTGTTCATATCAAAATTCTCAAATCCAAAAATATCTAAAACACCAATTGAATTCCTGGCTGCATTTTTTGGTTTGTATATGGCATTATTAATCTTATTAACAATGTAAATAAATAAACGACCATAAATCCCTTTAACAAAAGCATCCCGCACATCAACAGACTGGTCTCTAGACAGTGTTGAAATCTACAAAATCAATTTCAAATAAATCAAATTAAATAAACAAATAAAAAAAAAATTAGAAATTCAGTCAATAAAATAAAAGAGCAGCTAGTGGTCACATGATAAGTAGCATAAGTTTTAGGTCGTCAAGCATAAAATGAGCATTTTCAGAAACAGAAAATAAGTAAAAAAATTGACAAACACAACAAATATATTTTATTCAAAATATTTACCATTTTAGACTTTTCCCACAACTAACCAAGTTTTCTATCCCAAATTTAAAAAAGGTTGAGTCGCGAGTTGAAACAGTCAGCAAAACGTAAAGTTGTCCAAGTCCCAAAAAGGTGGTAAACTGTAGGGGATAGATCAGGAGAATATGAGAGATATTTTTTCAGAAATTCATAGCTCAACTCCTTTAATCTATTAACTATCCGTACAGAAACGTGAGACCGAGTGTTATCGTGCAGGAGGTTAGGCCCTATCCTGTTTACCAATATCGGCTGTTGTCTGATCAAGTTTTGGTTCATTCGGTTAATTTCTTGGTAATATGATGTTGAAGTAATTGTTTCTTCCTATAATAGAAACCAAAAATGGAGGTGAAGTACCTGGCCATAGATCACTATACAGTAATAACAAATCAAAGATAACAAAAAACAAAAGGAATAAGTTCTAATCATTTTACATCAGAAGCAATAAGAGAAAAATAATTACTTATTAAACCACTTCGACTAATGGACCAATACTTTTCTAGTAGGAATGGAATACAATTCTGGACATAAATACTGTGGCTCATGGTTAAGTATGCTGCGGAGAAGGAACCTCAAGTTTACTGTTCATCGCTTATAATTAATTAAATACACCAGACAAACTGACTAATTTACCAAATTCAAAGACAAATAAGAAGCACAATATACTAAATATGATAATCTGATTACAAGGCCTTGGCTCTGATCAGTAATTAAGGAAAATGATATTGGAAGCTAAAAATATTCTTTAACAAAAACATCTGGTACGGTGCACGCATCACACAACTTTCACTTACCACCCTCTTCTTAGCAGAAGTATGTATTTCAAAACAAAGGGAAGTGAAAGTAAAAGTTTTAGAAGATAAGAAACATTATTTAAAACAATTAATTACCATATGTTTTTCATAACCTTCTAATGTATTATATTTTATTTGTTTGACACTAGTCATTTCCTTTTCCGACTGCATATTTCCGTAGTGCACAAAACAAAAAAGAGTTAATTTATATGGCAGTGAATGCGCCTCATGAGGCAGTGGAAAGAGAGAGAACGAGAGCTAACGTTTCCTCCAACGCACGTAGGTCTCTTCACCTTTTCCAATCACTGTCTCATTCAATTTCCCAAAAACATTTGATTCTCTCTCTCACTAAAACCACAATGACTGAAGAAACAGTGAAACTCTTCTATTCAGGATGATTCCCCTCTACTATTCAAAAAGCTGCCCTCACAAGAGTTAAAAGAAAAAGTCTACTCTCTAAACATTAGAAAATTAATCAGAACCAATAAAAAAATTGAACATTTAAAATTTTTAAGGAAATAAGAATGAATAATAATTATAATTCTTACAGAATATGATACAGATTTTTTTTTTCCAAAATTGAAAAGATTTTTTTCAAACATTTCTTTATGGAGTAATAATAAATTAAAAATGTTTAAAACTTACCACTGTCTCACCATGAGCAAATAATGTTTTTCTGGTCAAAGCATCAATCAGAGGTTGCTTGGGAACACCTAACAAGCCAGCAACACGAGCAACATTTGAATGATCAGGAATTTCGGTTGCATCTAAATTGTCAATGACAGCAGCTCTGTAATTAATGTTACCAGTATGTAACAATGCTGCTAAAAGTGTCAAAATGTCCCAAATTTCATTGTCAGTAAATAAAAGAACCTTCATTGCTGATCTTATATCTGCAAACTCTGCTGCGTCGTCTCTTCCTTCGCAAGTAATACCACCACCCTAAAACACCAATTTGAATAAAGAATTGTTTTTTATCTTTTTCTTTTTTTTTATGTTTCACAGTTATTTGGGAAAGATCAAAATGACTGACTAAAGTGAATAATAAATAACAATTTATAGAGAATCTTCATCACTTGATTACAGAGAGTAATTAAGTAACATTTTAAAAAATTAAATCACTAAGTAATTTGATGAAGTTTTCCTATAGTCAAAGCAAAAAAATTGTGCACTCAGTATAACTATTTTTTACAGAATAGGGTTTGTGTTGTTTGATACACTTAATGTACTTTACATTGATAAATATGATCAAAATTCACAATTTTGTACTTAAAACTTTGGCTCCATCAAAACCGTATTTAGTGATTTTTTGCAATGAACCAACATGAATATAGTACATCTCATTCAAAAGAGTAATATCAAATGACATCTAAGTAACTCTTTGAGGTTTATGCCAATATCATCAAAATATTCTGTAAGTTGCACATTTTCTTTTATATATGTGCATGGGTATTAAACATAATTTATAAGTGCCATCATTTATACGGGGTGTTTCGTAATTGCACATAATTTTAGATATGTGTTCACTAACACAAAATAAACAAAAAAGTTCACATCAACATATATCTCAAACTGATTTACTAAACAGATGTCCAAGGTTAAAGATTTATTATTTATTTACTACATTAAGACTGACTGTACAAAGTTTAACATGTTTAATACTAAATAACTGGTTTTAATAACCTGATAAACAAATGAATGATAAGCAATGACAGTAGTTCCTCATCTGTTTGTTTAGTTCTGTGTGTTTTAGTGTGAGTGAATACTGTGACACAGTTCAATTTATGATTATCATGGGAACACCATAAATTTATTCATTTTTGCAGAACAAACAGACATGCTTTTAAATTATGGCGAGGTATATAGAAACGGTGCTGCTGCTGTTCGAAGATATTGTGAAAAATTTCCTAACCGAAGAATACCAAATTGTAAAACGTTTGAGGCCATTGAAAGATGCCTTAGGGATAATGGCACACTAAAACCTATACGAGTAAACACCGGTCAACAAAGATTTTGATGAATCGCAATGTTGAAGAAGAAATACTCGATGCTGTTCAGTTATCTCCTACAACAAGTACCAGAAGATTATCACGTTGTTTCGATGTTTCCTCTACCAGCGTACGGAGAACTTTACGCGGACAACAATTGTATCCATTTCACGTATCGAAGTAGGCAAGATTTGTTACCACAAGATTATAACAAGCGCAGAAATTTCTCTCAGTGGTTAATTCGACAATGCACACGAGATCCTAACTTCCTGAACTGCATTTTGGTTACTGATGAATCTTGCTTTACAAGAAACGGGATTCTTAATTTTCGAAATACCCATACTTGGGCTGAAGAAAACCCTCATACGACTGCTGATGGACATTACCAACATACCTTTTCTTTAAATGTCTGGTGTGGTCTTCTAAGCGACAACATTATCAGCCCCTTCTTTTTACCACCTAGGCGGTCAGGTATGCAAGACTTACTTGCATTTTTTGCAAAATAATCTTCATGAACTCCTAGAAGATATTCCGCTAGGCATTAGGTAAAGGCTGTGGTTTATGCATGGCGGTGCTCCAGCTCACTTTTCTAGTAGTGTCACTAATTATTTAAATGAAACTTAGGGAGACCGACGGATTGGTCGAAACAGATCTGTTAAATGGTCACCACGATCTCCGGATTTAACGACATTAGATTATTTTGTGTGGGCTAGATAAAGTCTATGGTTTATTCTGCAGCAGCTGCACGCAAGAAGAGCTAAGAAACTGGATCGTGGAAGCCGCAGTAACTACCAAGCATCATCCTGATGCTACACGAAGAGCCAGAGAAGCATGGATTCGTCGTGCTGAATGTTGCATTCAACAAAACGGAGGCCCCTTTGAACAGTTACTCTAAATCTTGTAATAATAATAATAATAATACAAAAAACCTTTAGTAAAAGTATTGACAAATAAAATAATAATAATAATAATAAAAGGCTTAGAGAACCCAAAGGTTCGATACCGACACCACCAATTGCTTATTACACACCTCCCTCCACAGTTTGCCGTCCAAACCCAGTCCCTTCAGATCAGCTTTAATGCAATCTTCTCACCTTCGCTTGGGTCTACCCCTCGGACATTTACCATTCGGTACAGCAAATATTAACCTTTTAGGAATTTTCTCGTTACTAAGCCCAACAATTTTGCAAGCCCATTTGAATCGCCGCGATGAAATTACCTCAATTATATTACCTGGATACAGTTCACACAATTCTACGCTGTGTAACTATCTGAACTCTCCGGTTAACTCATCCTTCTTCGGAATATTCTACGCAATACTTTATTTTCAAAAACCTTAAGACGCTGCTCATCCCTTAATGTAAGTGGCCAAGTTTCGCATCCATAAAGAACTGTAGGTAATAATAATAAATAATAAATCTTTAACCTTTCATATCAGTTTAATAAATGAGTTTGAGATATATGTTAATATGACCTTTTTTGTGTTAGTATATACCTTTAGTATATACCTAAAGTAGTGTTGTGCAATTACGAAACACCCTGTATAGCATTGCTTTATCTGATGTAATAGACAATTTTTTTTTAAATATAATTGTAGTGAGCAATCAGCAATAAAGATTAAATAATGATATTTCAATAACAGAATACTTACTCCAACTAAATATTTATAATGTGAAGCATCAGTTAACTCAAGTTTTGATTTATCATCTTTTGACAAACCGGCTAACATACAATAAAATACATGGTAATTTCTTTCATCTCTTGACTGAGAGACTATTCTTGATTTCTCTAACAAATACTGCTCTATTTTTGCACCCTCAATAACACCATTGGCATTAAAATGAATATCTATATATTTACCAAATCTTGAGGAGTTATCATTACGTATGGTCTTTGCATTTCCAAATGCTAAAATAAATAATATTAATAAATGTTGTCAAAAAAACAATAAAAATAAATAAAGAAAAAGAAAACCTTCAAGAATTGGATTTGCTTCTAAGATTTGTTGCTCAATCCATGAATGCTTGCCACTGATAGCAGCTAAATATTGGAGAATTAATTTTGTACTTTCAGTCTTTCCAGCTCCACTCTCTCCACTATAAATTCATTTAATATTAATAATTTTACATAGATTTTTTAAATACTCTTATTTTTAAGGAAATGTTGGTACCTTATGACTATACATTGATCTTGACCAAAACGTTTCATCTGACTATAGCAATTGTCCCCAATAGCAAATATGTGAGGAGGAAGTTCACCGATTTTTTTATCCTTATACAGCTTAATTTGTTCGGCTGTATATATTGGCAATATCTGGTAAGGATTAACTGCTACCAATATTGATCCAGTATAAGTCTTAGAAACAAAATTAATAATGATGATACCAGTTGCTTATTCAATCAATAATTAATATTTTATACTGAAATAATTTAATAAAAAGAATATTACTTACATAAATCAGATTTTCATTATATCGAATCAGAAGATTTCTTAAAATACCAGCTTCATGTAAATCTCCAAGAGATATCATGTCCTCCACTCCTTGAACGGAGGTGGCATGCATAGCCTTAATCTTCCTCTCCGGAGTAAGCCAAACTTCCTTTAAACAGATTTAACATAATTATTAAAATTCATTGAACAGAACTTTAATTTTTAAACCATAACCTACGCGAAAATTCTGTAATTTTTCAAAACTGGTACCAATAATAATGTGAGAATTTCTAACTTGTAAAATATTATAATCAATATGTTATTAAATAAGATTTTAACTATTACCTTGCCATCATCATCTTTGATGAGAATTCTTTTTCCTTCAGCAGATATCACACGTGCTCCAATGGCAACATCAAATTCTCGACCTGATATAGGTTCAATCCATATATAGTCTCCCTGTAAAGAAATTAAAATAATTTATAAACTGAATAGCACTAAAACCATAGTAACTTAAATTAATTGTTGGACATATCTTTTTTCTGTTCCAAAAAACAATGGGAATTGAATTTTAAACAGACACTGTGGGAAATAGAAGGAAGAATAAATAACATTCTCTAGATAAAATATAGAAAATATTCAGTGTTAGATTTGCAATTAATTTCTTCAATACCCACACCTATCTGCTTGGAATTCTTTACATGAGGCCAAATATTTTTTCCGAATACTGTCTCATTGCTGCAATGGTCATATCACCTTCAGGGTAACCCTCATGTATCATACTGCATCAGTTGTATATTAAAACTTCTGTAGTTGTTGCTCACTGGCCATTCCAGTGGATTCACTAATTCAGTGTCTTATAAATAATGGGAAATATTTTAAAAAGTGATAATATATCTCAAATTCAACAAATATGTTTATATAGACCATGGTCTAATATCACAGAAAATCAGGAAATTTAAGTTTTATGTGTTTTTAAGTATCACATCATTTTTTTTTTTTTTAAGAAAGAAATAACTAGAAAAAAAAACTGATTTTGATAATTAATAACTTCAGCACTAAACTAGACTAAATTTTCTTTAAAAACAAGCAGAATTTGATTTTCTTAAAACTAATAGAAGGGGGTATTCAAGTGGCTAAAATATACCGTTTTCTTTTTCCTAAAATCATGGATTACTTATTACCAACTTTTTTTTCTTTTAATCAACCTTCTACTGGACTTTACATTCTCCAATTTTAGGAAAAAATTCTTTCTTTAAAAAATGATAAGCTGTAAGCTATAAGCTATAAGCTTATATATTATATATATAAAGTTATAAGAAAACTCCTTTATTGCTCGCTCTGTTAATTTTTGGAATTCCCTTCCTATCAAAATCTGACATTCTTTATCCCTATCTACATTCAAAACCCTCCTATTCCAATTCCTGTTCCAAAAACAGTCAGATACCAACTAACCTCTTATGTAAAATTACATATTTTTTAATTTTTTTTATTTTATATATATATATATATATATATATATATTTTTTCAACAGAAACACAGATTTTACTGTTAAGAAGAATTTACATTTTTTTTTTTTTTTGTATTTTTTCTAAAAGGGTTTATTTATATTTTACCATTGTACATAGTTTTAAGTATCTTAGTATGGTTTCGAGAGTTTTGTATATAGATTATTTTATTTTATTTATATATTATGTATAACTAATATATTTTTTTTTTTTTGTTTTATTACTGATTTATCTTTATCTCTACTTTTTATGTTTGTTTTTATCTGGCCAGATGTAAAATTTTAATTTCTGTACTTTTTTGTTATTCTGAAGGGACTTCGTCCCAGAATAAAATTATTTTCTATTCTATTCTATTCTAAGCTGGGTCTAATTTAAACATTTTAAAAGTTTATATGAACGTTAATAAATAAAATCAATGTTGATAAACAGTCATTTGACTTAGATTACATATATAATTTATATTTAATGGCCTGCTTGATTATTATATTTCATTTTTGAAAAAGGCTCTGCATAATGATTATTTTTTATAATTACTTTTTGGAAAAATGAATTGAAGTAAAGGTTTTTTTAAAACCTTTAAAAAAATTCTAGTTTCGAAATAACAGAAAAACAATGAAAAAAAATCTGGAGCGCGCAACACACAACTTTCACTTACCACTCAACTTTGAATAGAAATTATTTTCTAGCTATATTGGGCTATTATACAAATTTTGAATTGCTTTTTTAACCGAGCTAAAGCTAAAAACTTACAGCTAATAAATCATAAATAACATTAAAATAACAAAAGTCCTATTTATTATATCACCCGTTGATTATGGATTGTATGATCCGATCCGTTGATTATGGATTGTAAGACTATTAGTTATTAAACTGTTATTTTCCATTGCAAAGTTTGCTAAAATGGAATTAAGATTTATATTGTCTGTCATAGACAGGTCAATAGTTGTCACACTAATTGGAAATGGATACTGTTGCAATATCATAAGGGGAAAATTCATCAAATTATTGACTAATTTAATTTTTCAAAAGGTTACATCATGATTTTTTGGATTAAATGGACGATAGATCTCTAATTATTTAAATATAATATCAGATCTAGAGTTATTCGAGAACCCTAACAAAATACAGTAAATATATTTAAGATTATAAACATATCCATGAAATAATTTTATATTTCACTTCTTCTTTCACACAAGTACAATGAAATAGTATCTTAAACAGTGTCATTGCCTCGAATCCGTGGATTTTAAATACTTTTTCAAACTAAACAAAACATGTTAAAAGTTTACATTTAGTAAGAAAATTTCATTTGATTTCCACGAAAACACATGATTTATATTAAATAATGTTAGTTTTTAGAAATTATTATTTATATTTTTTTCGCCACTCTCCTTTACCTTCTACAATTTTCTATATTAGATATTATTTTGTATTTTCAATTCTCCGCTTTCCAACGATATATTAAACGCATACCTTCTGACAATTATTTCCGGCCTAGATATGTATTTTTGTTTTTTTCTCCTATAATCAATTATCAAATTCTTTCAAAAGTTATATTTGGCATTTTTTCATGACTCCTAACAATGATAAATAGTTATTATTTATGAAAAACCAAATAAAAGGTACTTTAGAGGAAGATACGATAATTTTGGGATTTCACAAAGGGAATTTATTAAATTTCACTTTCGTACGACTTTTCGTTTTTGAGCTTGTGTTCGCATACATACACGCGGATCATTTCGCGGGACTTGGTTATTTGAATTCAGGAGACCTCAAAAGATGCATTTCCGTTGAAAAATCAGATTCGAGAATTTTCACGATCGCAATACTATCCCTTACTATATACTTTATGTATAGGTAAGTGAAAGTAATTAAGACTCCACTCATATTGGAACTAATTAAAAATAAAAATTAACTTTTTATTTCAAGCCCTGGAGTAATGTAAGTTTAAGTTTTGTTACAGAAAAGCTCAGATTTATATATTGTTAAAAGAAAAAAAAAAAGAAAAAAAAAAAAAAAAAGAAACGTGTGTGTGATATGAAATTCTTCTTAATAAAACAACCAGTATTTTCACCAAAAATAATTAACCTCAATTATTAAAAACATTCATTTATCTTTATTTCTGTGATCTGAAATAAATTTATTAATAAAATAAACTTTTTATTTTATAAATGCAGCTTTTTCCTTTAGTATTAAAAACTGATCTCCAAAGATGAAATTGGATCAGTGATTTTTACACAGACCTTAATTATGGAAACTGATTCTGATCATTGCAAATGATCAGCAGTGGTCACTGATAAAACAGGAATAATACAGAAAAAACTGTTATAATTAAAGTTATAACAAGAAAGAGGTTACATTCACCCATTTTAACAATAAGTGACCTGACTCACCGGCAATTACATAATCCTTTCATAAACTTCAGGCCGCCGCCATCAACTCAGCAAAAAAACAGATTCGATACTCTACTAATAATATTATTTTAAAGGTGAAAATTCAGATTTGTAATCAATATCCTAATATATAATGATAATTGTTAATATATAATTGTAAAAATCCTAATAAAAAACACTCTACACCCAATAGGATTTTTATTTTTCCTTTAAAAAGTGATCACCAACATTTGATTATCACCATTATCTCATTTAAAATAGAAAAAACTAATAATACAGAGCTTATATAATATTAAAGTTACGTATTACACTTTAAACATTCTAATATTAATCTCAAAACTATTACACACAATATGCAATTTACTCTACATCATTAATAGCATGTTGCTAATTAATAGAAATTCAAAAATCGTTCTTAATTTTAATAATCAGCTAACTACAGCTTCGTCTAAAAAGCAGAAGATAAAGATAGGCAAAATCAATATTTACAGAACCAATATAAGGATTCTTGGTCAACCGAAACCTAACAAGTTTTAACTTGTCCCCAGCATAGTTTCCAAGGATTATAATCTTGGTAGATGAGGACCAATCCTTTATTCTTAAAAATACAAAAGCTATATTTTTCACATATATGGCTTTGCAATGCAGTTTTAAATTTCAATAAAGAGTTTATAGAATATAGGTCAAAATATAAATAATATCTAATTTGTTAAGCAGTCCTAGTGTTTAACAATTGTAATTTAAGATATTTCGATGAATAGTTTTTCATTTTTAAACATATTTACTTTATTTTTTAAAAATCATAAATTTCTTTAGCAGATCTTGAGCACGTTTAGGATTGATGAATAAACCAACTAATCTCTTAAGACATAATAAAAAAAAAGTACTAATGTATCACACAAATAAACAAAACTGTTGAACTAAATGGCTGATGAATAATTTACTAAAAAAACAACGAAGAGTAATGAGACTAATTAAAGAGTTAAAAAGGTCTGATTGTATTCATTCTTTGATTAGTCTTTAGTTTGATGTTTAGATACTCTTACCAGTTTCATAGTAATTCACTAATAACCATATTGATGTAAGCTGGAAAAGCATTACAGGGTAAGGAGCCTATATAGCGCACATTTTAGAAAAAAACAATAAAAAGGAAGAGCCACCTGCAAGGTTACTGCTGGGAGAGGAGTACTTGTCACCTTATCTCGTTTCGTGTACAGATTACTCCAACAAAACCTAACGAGCTAGAATAAATCTTTACATATAACAACGGCTATCAGTACAACAAGAAAATAGTTTCTATGGCGGAAATTTTACAAATGAAATATATTTTCATTTGCTCTATTTTTATTACTCTGTTCTAATTGAAGAGTGTTAATTGAAAAATTCATTGTTTATTTTAGCCTTGGTTTACTCTTAGTGTATTATGTAATTTAACAGCAAAACTAATCCCTTTCAGGAAAAGTACCCTAGTGCTCATTAATGTAATACATATCATAGGCACATAATTCCTCCCCCCTCCATCGTCCAATATAAATAGAGAGGATGCGAGAATATCGTTACGCTCCCTCAAAATGAATGAATGAAATAGGTAAACCAAAGTCGACTAGATGGCTAGACTATGGTCTAGAAATAGGTAGACAAGTATTTTACCACGCCCTATGTTGCTATTATTAAAATTTTAGTTTAAATTGAAATATAATTAATATGTGTAGCAACGTGCAACATTCGAGGAT